TTATCTGAAAGTTTGGGAATGGAAAATTAATGTTCAGATCAAGGTTAGGAAATATTTTCCTTGATTTGATTTAAAAAATGCAAGACTTTCACATGCCTGTTGTATACTGTTTTGTCATAACGACCTAATAATGAGTTGAAATAAATATTGCTATTAAAGGTTCAGACTGCAACCATTGAAACAGAAAGGTGTCTTGTGCCCCAGAATGAAGTGTCATTTGTACTTGACAGTACACCTTCGGATGAAGTCAGTTCTGGTTTTTTTTTTCGGGTGTGACAAATTCAGAATATATGATCTGTATAAGATACATTCACCAGAATCCACCCTGATGATCAGTACTTCTGTCTATATGTAGTGTTAACCTTGGGGGAAGAATGCTGTATAAAATTCTATACGTAGTTGATACTTGTTATATGCCCCTGATACTGCAGTAAGTTGGATCATGGTTCTAAATATGTAGAGTAGTAAGTTATTTTCACTGCTATAGATATCTGTCTGTCTTTGTTCCTGTAGCTCCCACATGGAGCATATGGCATCCATGAAACACTTTGTTTCACTTCAGTTTCTTAGACGGTCAGTAGGACTCCTTGGACAAGGGATCAGCCCACCGCAAGGCCACTATCTACACAGGACAACATAAACACAGAATAAGTGCAGACAAACGTCCATGCCTTGAGTGGGATTCGAACCCACGATCCCAGTGTTCAAATGTACAAAGACATTTCATGCCTAAGACTGTGTGGCTACCATGATTGGCTTACTGCTGTAGCAGTTCTTCCCTGTACCAAAAATAATTAACAGGTATATAGATCTCGGAATGTAATGTTTCACCCCCAGCTTGTTTCGGTTTGGTTAGTGCTTCGCAGTTTGTATCTTTTCACTTTTCCTGTAGTAGTCTCAATCTTAAAAGGACTAGTCTCATAAATACTGGTAGCCCAGCCGTGTATGCAGGGTATCCGGTTGAAATGTACCTAAAGTAAAATAATTATATCTCAGAAAGCATTTCTTATACACATTTATGGTTTACACCATTACAAAGGGAATCTATCAAAGCTTTTTTCTGAGTATATAACTTTTTTCAGTAAATTTCAGAGTGTGCTCCCTTGGTCCTACTACAAATATCCAGACAAAATTTGATCTCATTCCACGTTGCCTGAAGGATGTTCGATGTTACGGTAGCCACAGTGTCCCTTATGTGTGCTTTCAGGTGTTGAAGGTCATTGATCTTCACCTGGTAGACAGTGTTCTTCACATAATCACACAAGAAAAAATCCAATGAGGTTAAATCTGGTGACCTAGGAGGCACTGTGGTACAAGTTGGAAGGTCGTGGGATTGAATCCCGATGAGGTGAATTTTTTCAATTTACCTAATCCTTCCAGCTGCACTATGGCCCGGGGGTTGACTCAGCCTTTAACAGAAATGAGTACCAGGAATATTCCAGGGGGTAAAGGGCCGCTGTCGCGGAAGGCTGACAACCTCACTTCCATGTATGAGGTGATTGTCTAGAAAATGTGGGAGCCTCAACATCTCACAACTCTATGGGCTCCACGGCCTGTTACAGGGATACCTTTACCCCCCCCCCCTTTTTGACATCAGCATTGACTGTTGTTGTTTTCTCAGCACAGATTTCCTAACTTCTTCATGTGTGCACACAGGACCTTGTTCTCATTATCGAGGTTCTGAAGGACAAGGAAAGCCATGGTTCTTTCTTTGTGTACTGGTATGCTGGGCAATGAGGCCATTGATGGAGCTGCTAAAATATCAGATCTGCATGGAAATTTGACATCAGACTGACCTGTATTTTGTAATTTGTGGTTTCTGCTTGAGGAACTGGGCTGCTTTGGGTGCTGAAGGGTTTTTCAGCTTTTGGGGAAAGCTTGCAGTGGATATTTCAGAATTTTGAGGCACTATGCTACCAGCCAGAAGGTCATGGGTTGGATTTTGTATGAGGTCATCAGATTTTTCGTTTGACTTGATGCTTCCCGTCGCACAATAACACGGGTTCACTCAGCCTCTAACAAAAATCTTTCTGGGGGTAAATGGCAGTGAACATGTAAAGCTGACAACCTAACTGTGAGTCAGCTGTCTAGAAAATGTGGGAGCCTTGACATCTCGCAACCCATTGAGCCTCCATGGCCTGATGCAGGGATAGCTTTTACCTTTTTGTTTGGCTTTTCAGAACCAGTTTTTATCCAGATAGGCTTGGCAGTTGAGACATACTGGTAGATGGATATGACTTCTCATTAGTTTTATTGAGAGAAGCATAAAATCTTATTTGAAGGAAAATATGAAAGTGTGTATGTGCACTGTAACATATGTACATATAATTTGAAATTCAGCTTTGAAGTAATTCCTGTATTTTTAAAGTTGACCAATATTCTGTTTTATAGAAAAGTGTGTTTCACATAAAATGTATATTCAGTTAACTTCTACACTTTTTTCTTTTGGCTTATTTTGGACTTCACCCATCGTCTGGTATGTAAAAGACAAAAGGACAAAAAGACAGAAAACCACGATGTTTCGGAGACTGGATCTGTCTCCGTCTTCAGGTGGATAGGGAAGGATAAACCTACTCAGTTGGGCCCCTTAGAAAGAGCTAGTCTCAATCACTGGACCAATCACCTCCAGTGATTGAGACTAGCTCTTTCTAAGGGGCCCAACTGAGTAGGTTTATCCTTCCCTATCCACCTGAAGACGGAGACAGATCCAGTCTCCGAAACGTCGTGGTTTTTTGTCTTTTTTGTCTTTTACATACCAGACGATGGGTGAAGTCCAAAATAAGCCAAAAGAAGTACAGTATACACCATCGTCAGAATCCTTTCAATTCTACACTTTTTGTTTGAACCACTTAACCTCAGACAAGAATTTAACATTTGTCTGAAAGGTGACTTTTAAATGTACGTAAATCTGAATTACAACCAATTTTAATCACTGATAAACATTGTTAATTTATGAGATTTATCTATAACAACACTTTTAATTGAATTATAACAAAGGTTAACCAAACTGTAATAAATGTAAGATTGGCCTATTGTATCAGGTTAAACACAGCACAGAAAAGATATATAAGATTAACCTATAACAGCATCTAGAATTACAACAGAGGTGGCCAGTTAAGTTTGCTGAAGTAGTAATTCTCACTGACTTGTATTCGGGAGTTACCCATTTTGAATCTGCTCTGATGGTATCTCATTATTTCACAGCGGATTTCTTCCATATCCTTTCCAGTGCATTATTTACTAATCGTATCAGCACTGTGTCTTGTGAGCTATTGGCATCATCATTAAATAAGCATAAATATAAAATAAAAAAAAAAGTTTGACCCGTTGCAATAAATATTCACATTATGGTTTATATATATAGTCAAATTCATTAAGGAATAAGTAGATCACAATGGGAAGTCATTCAAAGTAGGCTGAATTCAGATGGTAATTAATAGGAAAGATGCTGCCTAATTGTACATTTTAATCAATAATGAGTGTAATACAGTCAGTCCTACTAAGATTCATAGGTTGCAATATAAATAATTGCATATACTTGATTTAGAATGAGGTGTAATGTACAACATTAGTTGAGTACTTGTTTATTGGCAGTATAAATAAGTAAATATGTATAAAAATCTAGTATTTCATACAGTGTGTTTTGTTTGCCAGTAATTACATCCATTTTGTCTGTTTTCTAGAGGGTTTTAATAGGAAAATCTCATGCATGAATTAATTCTCTTAAACTTATTTCTCAGAACCCTAATTGAAGACAAAAAGTGCAATAACAGAAAATTTGTGAGTGCGTATGTGAATTTTGAGTTTGTGTGATGGTCAATTTAAGTGTTTCTTGTGAGAAATTGAAACATGGTGTGGTGTGGGTTTGGGAACCAATGAGTAATGCAGAGAACAATTGCAAAATGAGCTTACTCTGTGTTAGAGACCCTGTATTATCTGATGAGTTCTGTTGTAATTACTTTAATTTTTGGCATACCATATAATAAATATTAGGCTGCCAAAGTGTAATGTTCCATGTTTTATTTCAGTTTTCAAAATGAACATTTTAAGAGGTTTACAATACAGTAAGACCCAGTGAATGATTTTAGCTCCTTACAGGGATTGGCTCTTGTCTGTGACTGGCACAGATTTTGCTTTTTTCCACAGTAGCCACACTCATAGGGCCCTCCTAGCCTCATGTCTAGCTTTAACATTGGGTTTTAGTTCCCTGGGTGTACAACAGAATGGTTGGAACAAGGAGCTGCTTGTTTACATATATCTAGAGGTTTTGCATCAGTAAAATGCAGTTTATTATAGTAGCTCCATAAATGGCTGTATATTTGTAAGTTGAATGTTGTTCAGAAGTTCATCTTCTCATGGGACCCTCCCGTCTCAGCCATATATCCAACTTTACTACTGGTTTATTTCTTCGCTGTGGGTAGAACAACTGGAACATGAAGCTGATGGCTTACGTTCATGTAGTAGTGAGGTTAGGAATATTTGCAGCCTGACTGCTTTGCCCATCTACACTTACATGGCATGGAGATTAACCACGAGCAGTTTTATCTTAACTTAGGTTGTAGTTTCATTGTTGTACTGGTATTACACAGAATTTTGTAATTAGAAAATTATGGAAATGAGCTTTCTTGAGAAAATGTCCCTTACATTTATAAACACAAAAGATGTACCATATTTTCCCAATTGTAAGATGCACTGGAATGTAATTTGACTAGTATTTTAGAAGGGAAACTTTATGTGGCAAATCTGTATTCGCAGACTGCAAGACATGCAGATTTTAGGCAGCATTTTTCTTGAACAGAAATGCATCGTATGCTTTGGATAATATGATATTTAAATGACACTGTGTTGTGTGACATTGCCTTTGAAATCATATCTGGGTTTCACTATATACTGACATGTTGTACATGGTTGTTTGGCAGATGCATGCATGATCTGTAAGTAGCGTAGTGTTGGTATGCACTTGTAGTGTGACAGTCTGTACCTGTGTTATGTGTTTATAGCAAGGGGTAGAAGCAGACCAGCATGCAGTAATCAGAGACGTACTGAACACTCAAGGATGGGATTTGCAACATCTAGCCATGTATCTGTGGGTAATGTATCACATGCTTTCATTAGAGGGGTAGACCTTTCTGACACAAGTGGATTTGAGTAGATTCTATACTTTTGAGCCCTGTAATAGTATACAGTAAAGCTATACATACTAATTATTTGAAGTGTGTCAGTGAACAAGGCTGCGTAAGAGTGAAAATTTAAGTATTTTTCTATATACAATGTATATGTTCCAGATTTGATAATTGGATGCCCAAGTTCTTGAACAGTAATGTTTGATTTTCAGTGACCTTATGATACTTTAAAATAATTCCTCCTGTGAAAGGGCCCATTTTTATGAGAATAAATCCATGATTTAGAGGGTATGAGATCTTGTAAATGAATCTGTGAAGAGAGTATTTTTTTTTTCAATACATGCTTCATCTTATGCAATAAGTTGGCAAATTGTTATTCCAGCTTCTTTCCAAAATGCCATGCGCGCACACACACACACACACACACACACAGAGGCATAAATGCACAGTAACAGAGTTTTACTCCATGTTTTGTATGTTTTTCAAACTTCTTATTTTACCTGAACCATTAAACATTGGACCTTAATTTGGCTAGTAGCACTACCAGCTTGCATTGCAACATCTGATGTGTAGTGGTGCTAGCTGTATGAAGTTCTTCAAGATGACTTCAAATTTTAATGCAAGATGCAAGAAAAAACAAATATTTCATGAGAAGAATGTTTAATTCACGAAATAGATGGCATTTTAATCTAAGTAAAGCAGAGAATGTGTGCTTTAGATGTTGTTAACCTGTTTTTTCTTGTTACTTAGAATAATAACAAATTGCAACATTTCTTTTACTTCATTCACAATCAGAAGTTCCCCGTTTTGATTGGGGATCCTTTTTACACACACACACTAACTGTGTGTGCCCTTGTGTGGTGGATCAAAAGCAGTATTTGTCCACACATGAAGCAACCTGCTATGTTATGATTACACACCTTTCTTTGTAACCCCACAAGTTGAGCATACAGGATGCCACATTCATTTTTAGCCACTTGTACCCAATCTGCTGACTGATAGCAACATTCACTGGCCTCTGCACATGAGGCATGTTCTTACCTAGGTATGGATGAACTTCTTCTCTGTGCAGAGGAGGAAAAATGTAACTGTTCAGTATTCTAAGATCTAATGTGTGAAAGAAAAGTTACTTTGCCCATTGTAAATCTGTTGTTTCTCCCAGTCCAAGATGCCACACCCAGAATGATTCTGGATGTCATTATTGCAGTTGTTTCTGCTCCTTTTCTTTTGCTTGCTGCTTCTGAGTTGGTGATTGTTGTGGTTCTAGTTGCCTTTATTCCTGTCTTTTCCCTTCAAGTGTTTCCTCTGTCATCCTCTGAGTATCGCCCATTGTTATAGGGACCCTTGTCACCATGGCATGGTGCGTCCTCAGGTTGCAAATGGAGGATAGCTTCCAGATATGTATGGTAGGTGCGAATATATTGAACAAGCATTCATGGATAGCCGACAAGGGGTGGTCCTCCAGCTTAGGGGTTGGGTGAGCGACTAACAACTCCTCACTGTAAAAAAATAATTTTGTCGTGAAATGTCTCAGAGGGCCTTGGACTTGGCAGTTTTCTTTTGTTTAAATGACCTAAGCTAAGGAAAACAGATGCGAGATACTGCACACACTAGGTCTCCTTCTGTTGTATCTTTGTTGGTTGTTATTTGGTTACAGTCTTCCCTAGTGTTGCTAGGTTATAGAGTCAAGCAGTGGAGCTCTTGCCAGATGTTGACTCTAATGCAACTCCTAGCCACCAGTGATGAACTTCTCCTGAAGGCCCTCTCTGTGTAGGCTCAGTATGGACCACATAGAAGATACCACTTCTGATTGTTCCTGTTTTGTTGTACTCATATGCAGTTTGGTTATATATTGTTTTGTTGCATATTGCATAATGAGGAATTTCTTGTTACATTTTGGCTGGTATTGTTAAGGTGGTGAACTCAAGAAACAGACCTACATTTTGGATAGGAGAGGTGAAGTATATACAGAAATTTTGTGTGAAACCACAGGATGAGTGTGAAAGGGATGGAGCATGACATTAAGATTGGCGTTAGGGAAATTGGGATAATGAGATGGACGGAAGTAGCTCATGATTATGTCCATTGTGTGCTTTGGTATTGTGCTAGCATAGTGATATTATGATGCATCTAAGAGAGTTAGGTTGTGACAGTGGATGGTGGATGGAAATTGCTTAGAAGTGTACCCTATGGCTGCCTTTTTTATTAGCACCGTTGAATCTCAGGGTTTGATGTTGTAGCAATATCTGGATTTTAGGAAGGTTGAAGATGGTAGGTAGATGAAACTGACTTAGGATTCTATCAAGTGACAGGCTTTATTATTAGAGACGTTGAGTCTCCAGACTTTGCTACCACAGTGATAAGAGGGAAGTTAGGGAGGTACAAGGTACGGCAATTTAATTCTCAGAATGACCCTGTGAAAGCAGAATTTTCTCACCTGTGCACTAGCAGCTTCTGTCGCCTTCAGAATACTCTCCTTGTGAAGCTATGCACTTCGTGACACGATGATGCTACTGCTGGAAACAGTCTTGAAAATCATTCCCAATATTCCATGGTTCTTATGGTATTGGAGGACTGTCCAAATTTGAGCTACTGAACAGGCATCCCATGTGCTCATATTTTCTGTGTGTGGAAAGTCTGTGTATAATCTATGCATGTTTGTCAGGGACTCAAATATGAATTCAATGTGAGCCTCAAAAACATTAATTTAATTTTAATATGCTATAATATTATGCGCAGTATAATATCAAATTAATTTTAATATGCAAACTATACTCTGATGTATTGCTGAAACATTTTTGTATTTCTGAAGTACATTATAGTAGTAGTTCAGATGTGTCATGTGATTGTTCCCTCATATTTACATTCCGTTACTGAAATCATTTTTAGCACATCAAATAAAGCACTGTCATGTTCCTCATGATGAGAATTACATACAGAATTTTCATCAGGATACCTGAAGGGAAGAGACTTAAATGTAGAAGGGGAAGATGATAATAGAACAAGTCTGAAATGTATGGTGAGGATGTAAGCGGCCTCTGAAGTCTAGGGGTAACTTTCCCACCTAATGACTCAAAGTACGCGGGTTCAAACCCGGCGGAGGTCATGGAATTTTTAAGGGCAGAAAAATTCAAGGAACAGGTCCTCCGGGAGGGACTTTAAGCCGTGGGTCTCGTGTCTTAGATTTACGGCACGTAAAAGATCTTCATGTCTCTATGAGACCTCTAAGCAAATTTAGGCAAAAAGTTTCCTGCCCAAGTAGTTTCCAATGCCTCTCGTAGATGGGGGAAGTATCAGGTACCGAGGGCTGACCTCGTTGGCTGAATGGGGCTGATAGGATGCACCAGTACCGATAGGGTATGGCGACTGGTAGAATATCAAAGGGGGATGTACAATAGACTATTAGTCGCGGTGCATGGGGAAACCCACCTCCTCTAATAATAATAATAATAATAATAATAATAATGGTGAGGATGTAGGATGTGGTCCAGCAGTGGACCATCAGGTTATCAGCTTCTCAAGAATCATTCTGCTCCCTAGAATGAAGTAGAAGCAACAGGAATGAATAGAAATTGTCTTGGGATCATGAAAGTGCACAGAATTGCCAACATTGGTTTACAGACAAAGTTGACTGTGCCCGTCCTATTGAAAGAATGAAGTCTTTTATGAATTAATGTTTCATTGTTTAAAATGGATTAAATGGAAAAGAGACTTCATAAGAGTATACAATTTATAAAGTACACTAGGAGTGAAATATGTTTGTAGGTACAGCACAGTGTGAAACCTTGCAGGATATTAATTAGCATCTTAAAGTCACAAACTGTGTATATTATGATCGAAGTCATAGACCAGATGTTAAGTCCTTCTGTTAAGTGTATTGTGAATTTGTTTCTTACAAGTTATTGCTTATATTTGTGAAAAGTTGTTGCTCTAGTCAAAGGATTATGTTTCTTATAATGCATTTTTTCCAGAAAATTGAACGCAGAGAAAAAATTGAGCAGATTGTACGTGAACGTGAACGACAGAGAATGGAAGTCTACCAAAGAAAATGGTCACGTAAAGAAGAGGCTGATTTCTTCCGTACTGTCTCCACGTTTGGTGTAGAGTTTGATAGGTGGGTGATCTGTGTAGTGTGTAACTTACTTATTAGTTCTGCACATTATACATAAATTCTGATTTACATAGAGTTTTATGAATATTTTTGTGTTTCCTGTAGGTCTTTGGTGAGTGTTGTTCACGGCAAATCCTTGTTGCATTATGAGCCTCTGGTACTGGAGTGGTTTCATTAATTAATAGTGGGAGGGTTTTGTGCTAGAGCAGTTCCCTCAGTCAGTGAGGTTATCAATTTGAGATTTTTGCGGTGGTGATTGTAAAGATCGTGGTCTTCTATGTTGTGACACCATGTAGTTTTGTGAGCAGATAGCACTGTTTCAGATGAACATGTTGCGTCCTCCTTCAAAGCTGAAAATGGAGGCAGAATTCCTCTGAAACATCAGTATCCACCCACTGAACTACAGTGTCACACCTCAGAGGGTCCCACTGTAAAGAGAAGGCCATTGTGCCACATAAATCTAATCACCAGACAAGAACTTAAGACTTTTGCCTCAGTCTCTTTCATTGCTGTACTGCTTCTTGTATCTTCATTCAGATCGTGTCCAGTGTAACACATTTTTTCAGACTACTGTATCATCCAGTTTAACAAGTTGCATAGAATGGAAACCATCTTGAGAAGTCAGTAATCCCTTGACTAATCCAGAAATTTGCTGCCTTTAACAGAACTGAAGGTAGTCCACCACTCTCACTTTCCTGAACCACTTCGTTCCTGTCCAGTCTCTCTCATCTGTTAAGTTCTAGTTTTTTATTGTCCTTTCATTCATACCTACATCTCCAAAGTGGTCCCTTCCCATTTTGTTTTCTACGTAAATTTGTATATGCATTTGTCGGGTATTTTATGTATGCTTCAGGTCCCATCACTCTTTTCTTCCTTGATTTGGTCACTCTTATAATTGGTGGAGAGTGCAAATTTTGAAGTTCCTCATTATTTAATTTCCTCCTGCCTTTGATGGCCAAGCTATACTTTTATAATACTATATACAGAGTGTCCCAAGAGGAAAGGTCAGTATTGTGGGAGGTCATAGTATTTATTGATAATTCTAAGCAAAAAAGTATATATATATACATGTGTCCTATTTCAGATGGTTTCTGAGATTGAGCTGTTTCACAGTTGCTCATCTGAGTGCATCTTGACTTTCTTTTATGTGGACAGTAACGTCCATTCTGTGATCAAGCAGTTCATCTCATGTATCCACTTTTCTTCTGTATGCTTTACTCTTCACCCAACCTCATAAATAAAAATCTAATGAGGTTAGGTCTGGAGATCTTAGCGGCCATTTAATGGTACTGCCACATCTGATTTGGGAAAGTGTCACTGAGATGTTGCATCACAAGTCAGGTATAATGAGAATGGGCTCAGTCATGCTGAAAGTACACAGCAATCTGTGTAGCCAAAGGAAAATCCTCTATTTGTTATAGTAATCATTTTGCAGAAAGTCTTGGCAATTATGTCTAATCATATGATTGTCTAAAATAACAGGACCAATCAACATGTAAACATACCGTGCCACACATTGATAAAGAAATTATGTTGAAAATTTGTTTCACATAGTACCATGTGGATTGTTATGAGATCATCTATGCGAGTGATGTGTGTCTTTGACTCTGATATGGGTAAAAGTACCTTTGTCAGTGCATGGTATTAATGGAAGCATTTGGAAATGGGCAATGTAACCTGTGACATTTCTAGATGCTTGGCACTGTACCGTGGGTGTAGATTTTGCACATGCTGTGGGTGAAATGGGTTCAAGCTGTTGTCATGCAGTGTTTGCAATTCACCTGTTTGTGCAGCACTGAGACATATAGAAAGTCTTTTCATGCTGGTAGTAAGGCTACACAGTACTATTTCAGGAATATATTCATCTTCAAGTTGTTAGCATGCTTGTTCAGATGAAACATGAGCACTGGGAAACATACCATGTTCTATGATACAGAATTCTGCGCATAGGAAACCGTCAACAGTATTTTTCAATAGCAGCAGTGGCACTAAAATCACAGAAGCCATAAACATACAGCATATTTGGCATTTGTGAAGATGTATGGCATTTTTCATGACACTACTACAATGTCACTGTCAGCAGTCACAACAGTAAACTAACACTTCACACCAGTTCACATGCTTCAGACAGCAACACAGTATGGCAGGACAGTACCAGGTATCAAATCCAAACTGCTGTACAGTGAAATAGCTGTATCTTGGAAACTGTTTGGAGTAGGACACGCATACCGTTAGTTCCTCGGAACTCTAGCCATGGTAGAGGGGTCATACCATCTCTTGTGGGGCTGGGGTAGCAGTCTTATCAGCTTACGTCAGCGTGGGTGCTACCTGTTTGGAATGTAGCGTCTTGGAGTGTGGTCAGGTGTATAGTATGTTGTGTTGCTTGTTAGGCAATGTTTTCTGCTCGGGGAGTAGCTCTGAACATCGTCACAGCAAGCGTACAGCTTAATGTGCTCCACAACAGTGTTTACCTTTCCGCGCAGCTAAAGTTACGAGGCACTAACCATACATATACTTTTTTTTTTTTTTTGCCTAGAATAATGGATAATATGACCTTCCAGCATATTAACCTTTCCTCCTGGGACACTGTATACTACACCCACTGTCTGGCCTGCTCAGACTTTAAACATTCTGTGCTCCAAAGAATTTGGCTATATATGAGGCATTTTCCAAAGAAATTTGTGGTGGATAATCCTTTAGTCTAAGTAAATTTAACCCTTATGGAGATACTGATAATTTAATACCAATATATTACATGCCCTAATTTTCCTGAATATATAGTATGAGGAGGTATTGTGATCCTGGAGAAATCAGTCTCAGTATTTTGACAGAATTACACATTTTAAGCACCCCTGACACAATAGTGTAGTTGGTTGAGGCACTATGCTACAAGCCGGAAGGTCGCGGGTTCAAGTCCCGAAGAGGTCATTGGATTTTTCAATTGACCTATTCCTTCCAACCGCACTATGGTCCTGGGGTCAACTCAGCCTCTAACAGAAATGAGTACCAGGAATATTCTTGGGGGTAAAGGACAGCCAGCACGTAAGGCTGACAACCTTACCACCATCTATGAGCCAGTTGTCTAGAAAATGTGGGACCCAAAACATCTCACAACCCTATGGGCCTCCAAGGCCTGTTACAGGGATTCCTTTACTTTACTTTTACTCTTACTTTTTCTTTACTTAGTATGAATAAAGTTTTTGGAATGCCATCTCTCTGTATGTGTCTGAGCAGTTTGAGATATTGTATTTATATTTGGTACTTGAGAGTTTATTTGCCATTGGTTAGTGCCTGCAGGGAGGGGGTCCCAAACATGGAATGGTCATTTTCTCGAAAAATGGTGCATAAATATCATCAGGAAGATAATTGTATGCCAACTAGTGGCCCAAATGTGAAATATCAGTTTTCTCAGATATGGCTAGACTGATTTTGATTAAATTGTAATCATCTATAGAGTCATTGAACCCAAGTAATATTCTGCTGGCCAAACATCCTAAATGCAGCGTATTATTTTAGGATAGTAGAAGGCTGCATGATTCATTAAGTGCATGTGAGAAATTATGTGCAATGTCTGTGCACTGATTTTTGCATTTGTGAATGATATTTATGCACTCATACAGTTTCTTCCCAATACAGAATATAAAATTCTGTTAGTTGCCATTGCATTGTTATTGAGCTGATTTTTTTTTTGTATTATTTTTTTTTGTGTGTATTGTGTTTTTAATAATAATGTATGAGTATGTATCATTCATTGATTTTGTATTATTTGGATAGTGTAGGCTTATTACATAATAATATTTATTTTACAGGAAAAGAAATCGTTATGACTGGACCAGATTTCGAGCTATTTCTCGATTGGACAAGAAGTTTGATGAAACTATGACAGAATATTTCAAGGCCTTCTGTGCAATGTGCAAGCGAGTTTGTGGGCTCAAACTTACTGAAGAAGAAGGTGAGCACAGTAGTTCTACAGTGACAGAAACTTAATATCTGAATTAAATATTTAACCTAAGCCTGGGTCATTTCTGCAGTGGCAAACAAAAAAAATAATTTTACTTGTCTGGCATATTCACCCTTTCCAGGTAATATTACCCCTGCAGCTGTTTAAATACAGTAGGTTGGCCATGTTTTTTTTTTTTTCTTTTTTATTGTAGGATGTAGCGTGTTAACCCCTCAGTGTGTTGGCATTTAAGTTCCTAGTTAATGCTTTGCTGTGGGAGGATTTTCTGCCTGGTGATTTAAATTTCTACTTTATGGTGGTAAATTTGCTTCGGAAGGCATTACTTCCTCCCAAAATTATAGGATTTTAATGAAACTTTCAGAGAATATTCATTGTACACTGAAGTTTTTATAAATGAAATAGATTTTGCCTTAGTGGTTGAGAATTGTGTGGTAAGTCTTGAAACAGCCCACAACACACAGACTGGCCACCAAAGGACTGTCTCCATCCACTTGTTCTTGTAGCACACACCACGCCTCTTTGTTGGCCTTGACTTCCTTTCAGTTGGAGAAATTGTCTCTGGGAAATGTCTTTCAAGAAGTATAAGCACTGCGTTGTCCATGGAATGTCATCCTGGCCTTTTCTTCCACCACCTCCTCCATGTTCCACATGTAGAGCCTGAACCATATCAGTTCTGAACTTCAAGTAATCACTTCACTTCCCCTGTGAATTTGCTGTTCAGATAACCATGGATTTTGAGAATTGTAGGATAGAGTAATATGAACATTTTGATGTACCATTAGTCATATTTTTTCTTTCTAGAAAGTAAGCATGAAGGAGCTGATCTTTCAGACCATCTCTCTGTTATTCTTTCATTGTAGTCCAGAACTGAAACAAGGTTTTTCTTTTTTCATCCTCCTGTTTTGTTTTCACCTTGATACGTTGAAATTATGGTGACTTCTTTTTTGTCACCATTTCAGTATAGACACTGGTCCAGAATGCTGAGCTAAAATTTCCCCTTTCCTCAGTTTCTTCTCTTTCACTGTTTTTCATACATCTTTCCTGTTCAGGTGCAGATTTCCAACGCAGTTTTCATAAATTTTAGTTTTATAACCAGTACTGGTGCATTGTAGAAGTTGTTCATCCACAGTGTTTGCCCTTTATCAGGCAGTGGTTCCATGAGAGATGACACAACAGCTACTGTTTTACATTTCTCCTCTGATATCAATGTTGACAGCCTGAGCTAGATTCACAAGACTTCATTCAAATGAAAGCCTCCCTTTCCATAGTGTCAAAGATTCAACTGTTGGAGTATTTTTGTCTGGTATGTTCAAATTCTGACATTTCCTGTTCAGATTGGACATCATTATGTATATTTTCTAAGATATGGATGGTCAAGATACAGTAAAACTTGGTTATAGCAACATCGGTTTTTGCGACACCTTGTCTATTGCGTCAAATATTCAATGGTACGAACTAATTCCTCATAAAGCAACTGTTTTTATACCTTGCTTAGTACGACATGCACAAATGCATCAACCTCGTATGTAACGTCATTTTCATTCCTGAATTTCTCTGATATCGTGGGAAAGTTCGATGTGTCTGCCCACCCTCACTTTCTCTACTTGCTGACGTGACTGTCCTGGAAGAATACGACCGCGGGCTGCAAGAGGAGCGTGGGTTTTATGCGAAAACAAGGGTGTGGAGTGGGACTGCGTGAATAGTGCAAGAAGACGCGGCAGGTTGTTAACTGCATTCCTTTCCTAGAATCTCGTCTAACAGGACCTCACATTGTCTAATTACCCTATAGTGTTCCTGCCTAAACCCAGAGAAGTGCAGTAGCGAAAACATGGCAATGAAAAGGAAAGTTTTAAGCATTGAAGAGAAAGTTAAAGTGATTCGTGAAATATTGTGTGTATTGTCAGTGAAAAGCGCTGTAATATGTCTTTGATATTACACATTTGGGCAATTCCACGTTCATGTTATGTTAGTCTGTACTTAACTACGTATTTCACTAAAAAATGCAACATTTTAACTCAGTTTTTGGTAGATTTTTACATGACTAACATAAGGCTACTGTGGAAGTGCCCATTTCGGTTACAACGACATTCGTTTATAACGACACTATTTTTAGGTCCCTTTGATGACGTTATAACCAAGTTCTACTGCATATATCTTTGTTTTCATTGTTGAAATGCATAAATGTATGTGTTGATACAAGTTGGTCCATTGATTTTATACAACCAAATACAGGAGTTGCCAAAACAAAATTTTCTAAAAATAAGAATATAATTCGGGCTTCTGAACTATGCCTGTGAGAATGAAAGTTACCAGAACAACATATATCTCATCTTCACTGACAGGTTTCCAGTCTCTCATCCTGGATCATAGTTGTAACATAATTCCCCTGGTTATTATGCACTGTTTAGCATAAATATTTGTCTTGTGGATGATTGTTTCTGTTCCTGTGTGAAAAACATCTTGAATGCATCCACACCTTCAGTCACATTTTTAACTCATTTTGAGAGCCAGAATTCCCTATAAATTGTTCCCTTTTCCCTACATAATTAGCCATGTCCTACCATGTAAATAATGTGACACAAGCTCCACCCTGCAAAGCACTTGTTGAATCTTGTGCACTGTCACTGTCTTCATTCTCACTTTCTTCTGTCACAGTTACTTCATGAATGGGCAAATCTTCACTTACACTAAAATCATCATGTGACTCAAACTGTTTTCACTGTCGGTCAGTGCTTCTTCCAGAATTCTTTGAACATCATCGCCCAACAAACACCCTCTGCTTGTTGATGCTTTGACTGCAGCAGAAAGCTGCATAACATTAAATCGACTACTCTGTAAGCTGGGGAAACCTAATGAAAGCATCCTTCCATCCTGTTTATGTCCTACATCATTTGAAACCCTGCTACATCATCTGCAGAACTATAATACTTTATGTATATTTGATATAGGGAGCCACAAATCAAACTGTGCATGTGCTCCCTAGATCAGTAGGTCACCTTGTAAAACAATAGTAAAAATCTATCAAAAATGTTGATATTGTATATAATTTGAAAGCCCACAATGTCATCTACAGAACTACTGAAGTCAAGATTGTATTGCCTTAGGCATATTGGACAGAGAGGGCTACTGAAAAGAGTATGCAAGCAGTGAAGATCAATAAATTACCTCATATCTACATAGAGAAAAAACTCCATGGTCTGTAGTCTGCAAGCGAACTATACCGACCGAGCGACTGCCGCTTGTTGGCAAAGTTAGTGCCAACTTTTGCAGATAGAGGGTGTCACGTGGTCAGCGCAATGGATCCCCACAGCCGTTAATCTCAGTTTTCTAGACCGGAGCCGCTATTTCCTTCAAATAGTTCCTCAGTTATCCTCATGAGGCTGAGTGGACCTCATTCCAGATCCACTACTTCTCACAAAATCTGGTAGCGCCAGGAATCTAACCTGGGACATCTGTATCTGTAGCCAGGATCTCTGACTACTGGACCACAGAGGTGGTCTCTGGAAAACAAGAGTAAAACTCAATTTAATGTGTTGGTAATACATATTACATTAAAGCTTGCTGCTATATCTATGAAGCTGCCGAGGGACAAAAAAGTAATAGCTGCATATATATATATTTTATAGTTAGAAAAGAAAGTCAGCACAGTATGCATGCACAGCTCTGCACTTAACACTGAGAGGTTAATGTATATGATTTTAATTTAACAGTACAGTTTGAATCGCTAATCGGTTAACAAGAAGTCTGTTCTTAATTCAACGTTTGTCAACCCTAATGGCAAGGGAAGTAAGTATGATGGAAGAGTGCTATTGTATTATGACAATTCATGGACATTTGCATATTATCATAGTCATTACAGTAATCATTGTGGTGTTCAGATGGTAAACTTTATGGAAATTTTCAGAATGAAAAGGTAACCAACATTTATTGTCTTTTCCTAAGAATGTTTTTGTTAGTTTATTTTTAAGCATGTTTGCTATAATTTCGATGCAGATAGCTGCAATGCAGTTCCTCTGTAATTAAAGCATATCCTGTGTTTGTGCGCACATGTGCGTGTGAGAGAGATATATCCAGTTTCCCAGTCTTTAAATACTTTCTGATTCTGCAATATATTGAAAAATTTGAGTGGTTTAGGCTTTGATAAAGTCCTTCATATGAGCATGTGAACAGTTATAAATTCAAATAGTTTTGATGTGGACTGCCCCCCCCCCCACTTTAATAAATGCTTGATATGATAGTTTTATAATTAGTACTTTGCTCTAGTATCATTTTCTCTGCACTGTCAAGTGTATTATGCATAACAAAATTCATTATTTTATTGTGAGCATTTTTTCATAATTTTTGCTGTAAAGGCATTTCTCTCCTTTCGGTATTTGTGTGAAGATGTGTGAAGATATGTTTTAGCTGAACTACTAATTTCTGTTCTTCATGAGTTATATGAAAACTTCTGGTAAAACAGCATTCTCACTTCTTGACTCGTTAGGAATGTAGATGAAAGGAGAGAGGAAGGCTTTGTCCCCAGCAGCCTCAATACATGCGCCAAAGGTTATAATAAATAATAAAGGAAATGTTGAGAATATTATCTTTACCCCACTGAACTGTATTCCTTTGTGTGATGGTACTCTTAACTAACCTATAGGACTAGCAGCCTCCGTAGTCTAGAGGTAATGTTCCCACTTTATGACTCGTATGTGGGTTCAAACCCGGTTGAGGTCGTGGAATTTTTAAGGGCGGAAAAATTCAGGGAACAAGTCCTCCGGGAGGGACTTTAAGCCGTGGGTCCCGTGTCGTAGCTTTACAGCACGTAAAAGAACGTCATGTCGTGTGTGTTGTGTCGAGCCAAATTATTGGACATTTACAGCCCAACAAGAGTCTCTAATGCCTCTGGTAGATGTGGGAAGCATCAGGTACCGCTGAGCCAGTAGAGGCCGAACTCGCTGGCTAAGTCGGGGCTGATGGCATGCACCAGTACCGGTAGGGTATAGAGACTGGTAGAACATCAAAGGGGGACGTACAATAGACTATTAGTCGCGGTGCATGGGGAAACCCACCCCCTCCAATAATAATAATAATAATAATAATAATAACCTATAGGACTGACCCAAGCTGTGCCATTCCCTTTAAGCTTGAAAACATTACTGTGTTGCTTTGGGTGGAGTGGTACAGATTGATGTGTCAACTGTATTTAAAGAGGTGAAACAGGTCACTCTGTTGCCTGGCTTGGTGTAGAGAATGTTTTAACAGCTGTACTAAACTTTCATGACAGGCATCATACTGCTTGCATGTTGGAAGTTACTCCAACATTCTGCTGCATTCCCTAACCTTTTTCCTTGTTTACACAGAGCAGGTCTTGAAGTTTGTACAGAACAAGTTTTGGTAATGATCTATGCATCAGCTTGTAACAGTATGCAGACATGTAATGGTCATGTCAATATTTTGGACCAGAGTACCCCAGTTTTATTCTCTTTCTTACCACTGCTCCATCTTTGCTGAATCATATAAATGTGTGGTAATCATTAGATGATCTGTGTGTGTGTGTGTGTGTGTGTGTGTGTGTTGTGTCTCTCTATTCATGTGTTTTTTGTGTGTTTGTCTGTACTACTACTTATTGTCTCTTCACATTCAGAATGCATGGACTTTCCTGTTGAGATGCTTAGTGAAGACAAAGCACGCAAGACTCTGGAAAGGGTAGAATTGCTGAATAAGATTCGTGAAGATATTCTGACCCATGTAATGCTGGACGAGAGACTCAAATTGTGTCAGCCATCACCTGATCTTCCAGAATGGTGGCAGCCTGGGAAGCATGATAAAGATCTTCTCATTGGTGCTGCAAAGTAAGTGTTTTAGAATTTCTGTTTTTTTGTTATCACAGTAGCCATGCTCTTTTAATATACATACTGTCTTTGAACACTTCAGTCATGAGTTGAAGCCCCACTTTTGGAGTGGATTTGTGGCTGCATTCATGCCCATTCATGCTACATGTCCTGTCCACCTCATCCTTCTTGACTTGATCATTCTAATTATACTTGAAGAGTACAAGGTATGAAGCTCCTCATTATGCAGTTTTCTCCCATATCCTGTCACCTCATCTCTCTTGAGTCCAAATATCATAACACCCTGTTCTCAAACACCCTCAGTGTGTGTTCCTCCCTTAATTTCAGAGACCAAGTTTCACACACATACAGAACTACAGGCAAAATTATAGTTTTGTATATTCTAATTTTTATGTTTTTGGACAGAAGACGAGAAGACAAAAGGTAGTGGACTGAATGGTCTGAGTTAAATCTCCTCTTAATTTCCTCCTAAATCAGGTTTTCGTCATTCCCAAATATCTGAACTGTGCCACATTTTCAAAGGATCTGTTAGCTATCTTTATGTCATGATTTTGCCCTGCATTTAGTTGATGAGACAGCAACATATACTTAGTTTTCTCTGTGTTTACTTCTAGACCAAGCTCCTTACTAGCATCAGTTAAAGTTTGTGTGTTTTTCTTTATGGTATATATATTATCACCCAGTAGATTAACAGCATTGGCATAAACCAACAGCTGATGTGTCCCATTTAATTTCAGTCCCACCTGGTGTTCCTGGACTTTTCAAATGGCATATTCTAAAGAAAGTTGAAAAGCAGTGGCGATAAAGCATCTCCATGTTTTAGATCATTCTGAATAAGAAAATTACCAGAGAAACACCCATATGGACTTTACTGTACGTTTTGTTTAAACACATTTTAATCAGCCTAACTAGTTTCATGGGTACCCCAAACTGTATGAGAATATTGTACAACACTTGCCTCCTAAATGAATCATAGGCTTTTTTGAAGTCTATGAATAACTGATGTACTATCTCACTGTATTCCCATTTTTTCTCCAATATCTGATGAATGCGAAAGATCTGATGTGTAGTTGATCTGTTACGTCGAAACCCACCCTAATGATTCCCAATAATTTCATATATGCATGGATTTAACCTTGAGAGAAGAATATTCGTTAAAATTTTGTATGAAGTTGATAGCAGTGATATGTCCCGATAATTACTACAGTCAGTTTTATCACCCTTCTTGTAAACTGGTACAATAATAGACTCCTTCCACTGATCAGGCAATTTTTCTAGAACCAAATAGAAGTATTTAGCTTATGGTTCTTAATATATATAATATTGTCACGTGTTGGGTACGTCACGTGACAAATAACTTCAAGTGGGCCTCGGATGTAGCACATCTTTATTGAACTTTCACTCTTACACACCGTACAATTATTATCACTTGTAGTATCATTTGACTTCTGGCTTAATACTTCAATGCGACGTCTGAACTATCCTTGGCTGCGGCCGGATCTCAACTGTCTTCTGTCTGTATCGTATGGCGACTAGGTTCCAACTGTATTCTTTCTGTCTGTAGCTCTCGGCTTATGTTGGTGTTCTGCGGACTCAGTAGAGGACACCCCTCGCCAAGGTTCGATCTCACATGTTCAGCAATCTGTTGCTTCAGGAATGCTCCTTATATGCTGGTAACGAGTTTCGTCCCATCCGTTGTTACTCAGTGGCCTTCTGTTGTTCATCTCCGGGGAAATGCGTTCGTTGTGTCGAGCATTGTCTAAGCAACGGCTCGCTGTTATAGCGTTAATGGAAGTGCCTATTCCAAACATGTGACACAATAATATTTTTCCTCCTGCTTGAATAAGCTCTGTCAGAATTTGATCACTACCTGGTGATTTATGCGATAAGTGTCTTAATTCAGGCAGTGACTACATTGAGATGTAGCTTAAGTATGTACGAATTTTTTGTATATAATATTTGTTTTCTCATTTGCTTGTTTTGTTAACAGCTGACCAGTGATTGCTTTCTGAATAGCTCTTATATAAAGGTCTCATACTAGCTCTGTGGACCATGGAATATCTGAGCAGGCTGTAGTTGGCCACAGCTGGTGTAAGATGTTCGTTTGGATGACTGAGGAATAAATATAATTTGCTACATGAAACACTTTGTATGAGTGCTGCAATAAAAAAAAATATATATTTTTTTTCTCCAGTTTTGGGGGCTATCTGACCTTTTCACATGCATATAAAAGCAACTATATGTGTCACCAAGGAGAATATACTTCCATCCATGTTATGTGTCCATTATTTTTGAAATCATGGTTTTAATACTTTCTGCCAAAATTTTGTTATTGGTATTTATCCATGTTTTAGTATAAGGAAGTGATGGGATTATATTCTGCCCTAGAATGAAGTGACTTCTCTCGTAAAGTATTAGGTTCCTTCACTGCATCAAATGAGGACTTTTTCCTTCAAGTCATATTGCTAACTAGGTTTCTCTGCTTATTACAGATTATGTGATCAGGTATATTCATTTTGTGTTCAATGTTATAATGATTGATTAACTGAAGAAATCTTCCCACATCAGCGCTGCAATTTGTCCTTCATAACATGCGTATTGTTATCGCTGAGGTTCTGTGACTAGTGGCAGTGGAATTTATGCAGTAGCTGATAAAATTGCTTGTAAATGCCATCTGGTGATTGAAATGTGAATCAAATTATGTTGTATTGGCCACTTTTCTTCAGTTTTGCTCTCTTTTTCCAGACATGGGTTAGGCAGAACAGACTTCTTCATTCTGAATGATCCTGATTTGTCTTTTGTGGATGTGTTACGCAAACACCTTGTCTTGGATCAGCCACTACCCATGCAGAAAGAAGGCTTGAAACTGGAGACAGATATAAAATTTGAACGCCCAGAAGATATACTGAAAACTGACAAGAATGAGATAATTGTCAGATTGGAGAAAGGAGAAGGTACCTTAAAAATTGAAAAGATAGGCATAAAAAAGGAAGTGAAGGTACCTGGAACTGTAGGACAAATAAAGTTGGAGACAGATTTACCTCTTAAGGAGGAAAAGAATGAGGTAGAATTAACACTAGTCAAAACCGGCATCAAGTCTGAACATGAGGGTTTTGTAGCTGAGGATGAAAATGAATGTACAGTGGAGACAGTGAAGAAGACTGCCAGTATGAAGGAGGTGGAGATAGGGGAGGAGAAAGGAGAGTCAACTGCAGACAAAGATATGCTATGTATTAGTGCAGATGACAGCCAGGAAATAGGAACAGAAGATAAAGGTGCAGAAAGTACAAAATTAAAAGAAGAAATAGCCAAGGAGAGTGGTACAGAGAACAGAGATGATGAAAGTATAGTTGAAGTGCATGAGTTGCCAGAGAGACAAGAATTTCGACAAGAAGAACAGAAAGCTGATGAAGAGGAATCTCAGAATGAAAGAAAACTGGAAACTGATAGTAACAGCAAAGAAAGCTTAGAGAAACTAGAAGAAGAGACAGAAGAGAAGATGGAAGTAGAGTCAAATAAAGAGCCTGATGAAACTGTTGAAACTGAAAAGAGTATGGAAGAAGATAAATGCAATGATTCAGAGATCATAAGGGATGAAGTAGAAAGGACTAATGAAATGGAAGAAGATAGCAAGGAAACTGGCCATGATGAGAGTGTAGCAGTGGAAGTGAGTGAAACAAGGGAGTCTGCTGAGGCAAGCAGCTTGGAGGATAAAAGCAGAGTGCGGTCTTGTGAGAGCGACATTGTATCAGAAAACAGTTTGAAGGGGGAAGAGTCTCTGGATGCAGTTCCCCTTCCCACCAAGCAACAGACCAACTGCAATACTAACTCACAAGCTGCTGAATTGAAAGTCATGTTCCCTGATTTGGAAGTGATACAACCACTGTCACGACTGGCAGAGGTAGATGCATATGTCCTTGGAGGGAAGCCGCCCAGCCTCAGTACCGGAGAGCTTCTAGATTACTCTGAGCCCACTGTAGCCCAGCTGCTAGCACAAAGCTATCAGAACCCCATCAAATGGCCCAAGGTAAGATCACTAATTGTGTGTTAATGTCAGAGTTGGGTACTAACATAACAGTAATTCAGTGAAATGAGGCCAAACTTACCACACAAGTGAGTCACTTTTCACTCCTCTCACTCTTCTGCCCTAAAGATGGAGGCAGAAAAATGTTGGTAATGATGAGCACAGTGCACAGAATCATATCTAAGAAGATAGTAATTGAATAACATATGGGTTCCATATTGAGTTGAATGATTTTAACAGTCTTGAAGAATTTTGGATTCCATTTTTTAAATATACAAGGATGCATGATGTCTGTGCTAATAAATGTTGATTATCAAAAACAGTGGTTAACTTTCTCAGATACTATACCTTCACAGGACCACTTTCTGACAACAAGCTGGCCTGTGTGATTCATCCTTTTGTAATGCCAGACGGCCATGCAGGATATACAGCTGCTACTACTACTATGTTGTCACATCCCCATATGTTTTGTTAATTCACCTGTAATAGGTATGACATGTCTCACCCATTTCAGTCCCCTTTGTTTGATCACCTCAGTGCTCTTTGGTGAAGAGTGCAAAGTATAATGCTCATTACAAAATTTCTTCAGTATTCATGTTGTTTCTTCCTTTTGAGATCTATATATTTCGAGTAGAACCCTGTTCTCAAGCATCCTGAAATGGCATCTTTTAATTAGGGCATAAGACCAAGTTTCAAACCCATGAAGCAACAATTAAAATAGTTGTACTTTATTCTTTAGGTTGTTTAGATAGGAAAGTTAAGAACTTAGGTATTTATTTATTAGCATGGATAATTTGTGGCTTAAATTGGATTAGAAGAGAGTGTTTAATATTTCTCATAACTTGTGGATTATTTAACAGTGCATCAGTAGCTGAGAATTTATGTTGTAACACATGGTAAGATGATAAATGAATAATGAATTAGAAAGGATGTGGAAGGAAACTGTTGTGACCATTTGAGGTACAGTTGCAGCATTTGCCTGAAGTGATGAAGAAAACCATGAAACTATTTAGGATAGTTAAGATACAAACAAGGCATCTTCCTGTTCCAAGTCAGAGGTGTTGTTTCTTGAGGCAATTTGCTTAATATTTTGGACAATGAAGGACAAACTGTCATCTTTTTCCACAGGACCATGTGTTAGAGGTGCGTCTGCAGCATGTAGTTCATTCTGTTGAGCACAAGGAGTGGCCTGTTCCGCGAAACTTCAGTGTGTATAACGCTACCAGTATTATGTTGGGGACAAGTGGAGAACTGGACCTGAGCTGCCATGACACTCCTGATGTTACACCAAAGAGGGACACCTCAACACCCATGTCTGTGTCAGAGGGGTCAGAAGTTATCACTATTACAACTGATCATGGTGCTGCCAGGCTACCACTGACAAAGAAGAGGAAAAGGCACATAGCAATAGATGTAGAAACAGAGAGAGGTAAGCAGACAGGCTGCGGATTGTCTGATATCTTTAGGTCTGAAGAAAGGCATGAATGAGCTTTCATACATTGAGATCTTTGCCATTTTTCAGTGTTGAATTTGTGACAACAAGGAAAGAATCATGTTATGTCTGTTGCCCAATGCATAATAATTAAGAGTCATTGCTAAACCATTATTTTTACATGAACAGAAAATCATAATGAAAGCAGCTTCCATAAGGATATGAAATACATGTCTGGCCTTGACAGGCTACTTCTAATCTAGGACGGTGTTACACTGACATTTCAGAAATTATGTTTTTGGAATTTACGTTTTCCTCCCATGTATATACATTTTGACCACTTTGATGTTGTAATGCATGTAATTTGCTGCAAAAACATTGTGGGAAAACAGTTGTTATACATCAGTGGGTGTGTGTGCACTTGCACATGTTTACTGTTAATGATTACCATTATCATTAATGATACTCACAGAATGTCAGAGTATGCGTTATTAGTTGAATAGTTCATGTAAAGTGTGTAACAAAAAGGTTTTGAGCTCGAACCTATTACTTCATAGAATACATATTGTAACGTGTTTTAGTTACTGAATACGCCATAGAGATTGTTAATTGGTTTATTCAACAACCTACCAGTCTCGGCTACAATTAATTATAACACTGTTACGGGGTTTTCACAATTTATAACCCCTATTCAATGTTCAGTTCACTCTATTGTCAGTAGTCTACATGTTTAAATTATGATACGGGAGCTATACAAGTGTCACTGTATCACATACACCCAATTATTACTCGGTTATCACAAACTATCACTGATTCTCACACACGTGTCCGTAACTTGTAACTTGCTGCTGGCTAGATTCCAACTCAACTGTAGACTGCTGCCTTGAGAACTGTCTTCGGCGACTGATACACTTAACTGTTCACTGCTGACTGGAGAACTGTCTTCGGCCGCTGATACACTTTTAACTAACTCTGTAGGCAGTGTAGTGCTCTTATATAGTCACAGCGCCCGCCTGTTATGACCGCTGTTGCCTGTTACCCATGTCACTGCTGCATTGCGTGTTATGTCACTGCGTGGAGGGGGGGTGGATGGAGCGCTGACTCACCCGCCACATCACTGCTGTGTAGGGAGGGGTCCTCCGTTGCGCAACATGTCACACTGCTCCCTCCTTAAGGCTGTTTGTCCCGAATAGCCTAACGGTGCACCCCCATTCCTTTGCTTTGGAGGCTCTTCTTGCAGCATCTGTTCTCTGGCCATTACAACCGCTCTCCTCTTAAGACCAGCTCGTCTCGAGCGGTTTCCTTTCAGCTCGCCTAGAAGATCCCGTTGTATCACATTCATTTGTCGCACATGCACTCTTCCTCAGGAGGCCGGTACTTATACGTTACCGGTTCCTCCTGTGTACTATTGCATTTTTTCCATTTCGGAGGGGGTTGACCCCGCCACAATGTCCAATCCTTGTGTATGTCTTCCCTGAGAAGTTCTTTATGTTGACGTAACAGCACTTCCGATGTGGTCCGCACTTGCTGACGTCGTCGTTCCTCCTGGTCTTCCCACCATTTGCTGGCACGAGACCGTAGCGCCAAGTCCTCTCTCCGGCATCCGAAGGTTCACTGGGGAGTTTCCTTCTTGAAGGCATTTCTCCAACGTCATGCCACTGTCGCGCGATGGTATGTCTTCCTGTAGGTGGCAGCCAACTTCATCCGGGATTCATAATCTCCTCGGGTCCAAGATTTATCGAAGATGTTCCTCTGACGCCATGCCGCTGTTGCACGGTGGGACACCTTCCTGCCGGGTTTCTTCTGCCTTGCCACTTCCACACGGCGGCTTGTCAACTTCTTCTTGGGTCCACAATTTTCCCGTGTTGAATACTTCATATTTCGCTGATTTCGGTCCCTACGCCTTTTCTTCTTCGGTTCTCCGACCGGCATTACTTCAGCATCTTCTGCTAGTACCTCTCGTTGTTTTGCCGCCTCAGGTTTCTTGTTCACTGAGGCCGGCTCTTTTTCTTCTGGACGTGCCTCCGTTTCTTGGCAGGCCATCGTCTCTCTGACCGGTATCACTAATGTGCACCTCTTCTTGTTGTGCCGCCGCAGGTTTCGTGTCCACTGGGGCTGGCTTTACTTCTTCTTTACGTGCTTCCAACTTTTCTGGGCAGGTCATCATATCTGTTTGAGTAATTGGCATCAATTCATCTTCCAGTTTACTGACCAGTATCACTGTGGGGACCTCTTCTTGTGCCGCCCTTGCTTGCGTTGCTCTCGTCTCCGCAGCAGTATTTTCTCGCCAGGCTTTCAACTCTTCCATTTTCGCCTCCCATCTTGCCAGCATTAGGAATATTTTTTCCATAACTTGTTTCTCCATTTTGTAGCAGTCAAATACTCGATACACAATCATTACTGTGTGGCGTGTTTAAATTTGTAAACCAATTCTGACACCAAATTGTCACGTGTGTATGTCCAGTCCCACTTCTGACACCAGTGTAATGTGTTTTAGTTACTGAATACGCCGTAGAGATTGTTAATTGGTTTATTCAACAACCTACAAGTCTCGGCTACAATTAATTATAACACTGTTATGGGTTTTCACAATTTATAACCCCTATTCAGTGTTCAATTCACTCTATTGTCAGTAGTCTGCACGTTTTAATTACGATGCGGGAGCTATACAAGTGTCACTGTATAACACACTCCCAGTTATTACTCGGTTATCATGAACTATCACTGATTCTCACACACGCGTCCGTAACTTGTAACTCACAGCTGGCTAGATTCCAACTCAACTGTAGGCTGCTGCCTTGAGAACTGTCTTCGGCGACTGATACACTGAACTGTTCACTGCTGACTGGAGAACTGTCTTCGGCCACTGATACACTTTTAACTAACTCTGTAGGCAGTGTAGTGCTCTTATATAGCCGCAGCGCCCGCCTGTTACGCAATGGGTACCACTGTTGCCTGTTACCCATGTCACAGCTGCGTTGTGAGTTACGTCACCGCGTGGAGGTGGGGCGGGACGGAGCGCTGACTCACCTGCCACGTCACTGCTGTGTAGGGAGGGGTCCTCCGTTGCGCAACATGTCACACTATATATTCCATGGAGTATCTGTTTGAGGGCAGTTAAAGTGTAAAATATTGGCCAGTATTTAAATCACCCTAATTAATTAACATTGCAAACTTTCAGAAAAAAAAATACATATTTTCCGCTCTATGCAACATAGAAATACGAACTAAAAACAGCCTGAAAGACAATAAAATTTTCTACATATACACAAAAGAGCAACTTTTACAAATGAAAATTAACTATGATTATTTTGTCATGAAATGCAAAATATAATCTTTATTATATATGTTATGAAATTCCAAAGGACATAACCATTGTTTTTTCTTCAACCTTGAATCATGGTGACATTGTAAATATAATCACACTATGTACAATAATATTTTGTTCAGACTGTACACGAGTTTGAACTGTGTCACTTCACAGTTTACAATACGCTCTGACGCACAGTCCACCTCACACAAAGCAACATCGCGCTTTTTACAATAGAAGAGCGTGCTCCTGCTTTTCTTATTTAGTGAAACACACAACGTCTTTGTTTCCCTTTGGTTGGCCAGTGTTGTGAATGTTTCACCTCCAGTTGACTCAGTTGGGCCCCAGATAACCTTGGCCTCCCCTGAGAAANCACTGACCTTGATATTCAGCTTTGAGACTTGGTGATATTGTAAATATAATCACACTATATACGATAATATTAGTGTATGTGAGTTTGAGTTGCGTCACTTCACAGTCACTTCACTACGATACTCACAGTGATGCACGTGGCACTTTTCAAAGCAGTCCACCTCACACAGAGCAACATCACACTTTTTACAATAGAAGAGTGTGCTCCTGCTTTTCTTATTTAGCGAAACACACGATGTCTTTGTTTCCCTTTGGTTGGCCAGTGTTGTGAATGTTTCACTCCCAATCAACTCAGTTGGGCCCCCTGATAACTTTGGCCTTCCCCCGAGAAACGCCACTGACCGTGATATTCGGCTTGTGCAATTGAAAATCGTCTTGGGGGAAGGGGGTTCTAGCAAAATCAAATAAATTATGTTGATTGACAAAGCGACACTCTCGCCTATTAGTAATACTCGCAAAATAGTGATGCAAAGTAATTATAATAATGATAAAAAAGGGTGCCAGTCCGACACTGATACCGAAAGTCACAGTGGCAAAGATGCCTTTACTCACAAAGTAATACTGGCTCAGTGGGTTTATACCTCTTCCCAGACAGAAAATAAAAATGATATACAAGAAATATATGACGGTCCGACACTGACTTCCTGACTGATAATTCGCCACTGAAAACCAATCCTTGAATGTGTCAGACTTCCTTGAAGGCTCTGGAAGCACTCATATGCAAGCACCAGTAAATATTTCCTCATCAGTTCTCGAAACAAAGCTGGGCTATATTTGGCTGACCAGGTCATGAACAATCATATCTGAACGTAAATAGTTTCGAAACCAGTACCGTGATAAACGATTTCATTGTTCAGAGCTAAGGAATGAACCACTGACATGATCTTATGAGCGTTTGTTTTGGTTTCAAACCCAAGCTGAAACTGTCAGCACTCCCAAAGACAGCACGTGTCCTGCCACAGATATATATAACATTTGGCCAACTCTGGTTGCTGATTGCTGCATGTATATAACATTCGGCCGTTAAAGGTTAATATATGTCTTAGCAGCACTATGGCCCTGGGGTCGACTCAGCCTCTAACAGAAATGAGTACCAGGAATTAATTAAATAGTTTTCCTTGTTAGTAAAGCGCGTCTGTTGCATAAGGCTGACAACCTAACCACCATCTTTGGGCCGATTGTCTAGATAATGTGGGACCCTCAATGTCTCACAACCCTATGGGCCTTCACGGCCTGTTACAGAGATAGCTTTACTTACTTTTACTTTAATTGACAGAATTTAGTAACACTGCCTGATTTGAAGTTTCATGGAAATACAGTAAGTGGTTTGCAGATTTTTGCTATAGGTAGGCAGATGGACAGATGTACAGACATTACAAAGGTAACAGATACATATCTGCAACTTTTTGTTGCAGATGCACTAGAGACTTTAGACTGATGTAACCAAAGAGTTATAAAAATACAATCAACTCTCGATTATCCGGGGGCGGATAAACCGGTTTATGGCTTAACCGGGGCTTTTTTGAGGCTTATATGTTGTTTAATATGCATTCACTTTTGTTTCACATGGTGAGTTGTAACACTATTTTCACACTAGTGTGAACCGAGCTCTACATTCTTTGGCCCCGTTATGCTAACACAATGTTCTAGGGTAGGGGTGAAAGAATGCAAGGATTTGTGGAAAGTTTCAAGGACAGATACACTTCCCCAGTTGGTCTCTCTGTATCAGTCTTCAAGTGTGTTAGCAAAATGTCAGGGTGTAAAAGGAAGCGTGTTGTGTTAAGTATTCAACAGAAACTTGAACTTATCAATCAGTTGGGAAAAGCAGGTGTAGTTAAACAATTAGCAAAGCAATACGGTATTGGAGAACAAACTGTTCGTGATTTGAAAAAACAAAAGAATCAATTAATTTCCTTTGGTTCGTCTTCTAATTCAAGTGGAATGATGAAGGAAAAAACCCTGAAAAAATCAACATATGATGATCTTGACAAAGCAATGCTGATCTGGATTGATCAACTAAGGGCACAGGGAACAACAGTAACAGGAGCAGTTTGTGCTAAACAAGCGAAATTTTTTTCTGAAGCACTTGAACTACAAGGAAGTTTTGACACTTCTTCCAGTTGCTGAACATGTTTCAAGCAGCATCATGGAATACGAGAAATTAGTATTCAAGGTGAGAAATTGTCAGGGGACTTGTCATCATCAGTTCAATTTTGCACCAATTTTGATAATTTCATGAAAAGTGAAAATCTGCTGCCAGAACAAATCTATAATGCCGATGAAACAGGTCTTTATTGGAAATGCTTGCCAACCAGAACTTTGGCATTTCAGGCTCCAGGTCACAAATCCAGTAAGGAGAGATTGATAGCCTTGTGCTGTTCTAATGCATCAGGAACACACAAACTAACACCAGTAGTTATCGGCAAAGCAAAAAGACCATGCTCTTTTAAAGGAACAGTAGCTTCAAGTCTGCCTATCCATTATTTTAATCAGAAAGGAGCTTAAATGAATAGAGCGATATTTTAAGAATGGTTTGATTTTAAATTTGTGCCTCAAGTTCATGACCATCTAAAATCCCAAGGCCTACCTGAGAAAGCTGTGCTCCTCATTGACCGTGTGCCCTCACATCCTAACGAAAGTCTCATGAGGTCAGATGATGGAAATATTTTTTTTTAAAATATTTTCCTCCTAATATTACCGCACTTATCCAACCAATGGATCAAGGAGTTATCTCAAGTATGAAGAGAATCTACAGATCAAATTTGCTATAAAAGTACATCGATGAAGGCAATGATCTGACGTGTTTCTGGAAGTCTTTTTCAATGTTAGATGGCATATACGAGATTTCAACAGCGTGGGATACAGTAAAGCCATCTGTATTGAAAAATTCGTGGAAGAAACTGATGCCTTTCATCACTAATGAAGATGATGAAATCCATGGATTCAGTGAAAATGAAATAGCCATATAATTGACAAAATTAGCTAACCAAATTCATGGTGGTGAAGAAGTCAACGAGGAAAATATAAGAGAGTGGTTTGACTGTGACTCATGTGAGCCAGTCTTCGAAATGATAAGCAGTGACAAAATCGTAAGTTCAGTGGGGGTGCAGCCAGAGGAGCGGGAAGAAAGTGAGAATGAGGAAGAGGTGGACCATGCTGCTAGTAAGAAAATATCACATGGTGCTGCTCTTAATCATTTGGAATCCTTACTAGACTCTCTTGAGAGTGAAGAGAACAGTTTATTAAGTAACAAGCTAATATTACGTAGGCCTCGTACGGATATTCGTAAAAAGGAAAATGCCGCAAACGACAATATTAAATTTTTTTAAGTGTTGGGTGTGAATATTCGTAAAAAGTGTTGGATGTTGTTGAACACTGTGATTAAAATTACTAATTCATACTTCAGTGTAATGTAAAAAAAGTATTAAATAGGCCATGAGATGACATAAAAATGAGGTTGAATAAATTTAAATACAGGTAGGCCTGTAGTACAGGGTGGGGCACAGAAACTTCCTTTTTTTGAAGGCAAATAAAAGAAAAATTATTGCTGATAGACAAAATTTATATCTAGCTAATGAAAGAACATACGTTAAAGTTTTAAATCATGTAGTTTTAAACAAAATATCTTGAAGCTNGCCATCCTTTTAGAAATCACATCAGATCAGTCATACATCCATAAGTTAAGGGATAACAGTGTATCATAAATGGTGACAAGGGATATTCCAGAAAAGGTTAAAATGGATGAATTGTCACAGTCTTCTGCATTTGGGTGTGAATTGAAATGTTTTATAGTTACATTGTGAGTTGTGCGTACCTATCGCTTTTTTTTTCAGCTAAGTTGCATGCACTCTTGAACAGTAGTGCCACTAGTCAGCAGCCCCCTCCACTAACAAAGCCATCGCCATCACACCACTGGGAAACCAACGAAGAATCATTATCAGAAGAATCAAGGTTAGCATATGTTTGATTAGTCAGATCTCATTTAATCTTTAAGATATGTCAAGGTCATTATGGAAATGTAAGCAGGAATATTTTAATATGAATGCCTCATATCCAGGATAGTAATTTGGCATCACTGCAAATAGATGTGGGTGGACTCTTTGGTGGTGGTTAAATACAAATATTGGTGCTCTCAGGGACAGTCAGTTTAATGGTGGGAGGTTATTTCTCTGAAAGCAACAATGTAAACATACAGACATGCACAGCATACTTGTGTTATATATATTCACAGCTTATTTCATGTTCAGAAGGTTTTCATAATACAGATTACTATTCACATGTGGTCAGCAGAAGTATCAAATTGAATCTCAGTTTGAAGTCAAGTCATTCTCAGTCAGTGCTTTGGCCAAGAAACTTATATTGCTGGAGAGTGGCTGTGACACTCCCTCATAGGATGGAGGAGAGGAATGACAAGAGAATGAACTAGAACCACAACTGTTACCAGCTCAGTACAGAGAACAAGAGAAACAACAACCGCAGTTAACATGGCAGTGTGGTCTGCCATGTCAGACTGAGGGCAGCAGCAGGAAAACAAATCATATCAGAACTGGACATTAGTAACATGTCATGTCTGCTAACAGTTTTCATGTTGTTTTATGCAGGTATTGTCAAAGTGAAGGTGGTTGAGACAGATTGGTGTTATCGTCAGTACTTAGACATTCAGTGATAACCTTTTTTTTTCCCTGGTATGAATGAATCTGAAGCGTTTGTTTCTAGCTGTACTGATGCAAATGGAACATTGCTTATGAGACAGATGGACTGTTGAGCATCAGTGGAAGAGTTCTAAACTCCCATCAGTAGAGATGCCATAAAATGAGGCAAAGCACTTTCTAAGAGCAGAAATGGAATTGTCAAAAAAAAATTATGACACTACAAAAACTTTTAAACTTATTTGAAATGTAAAATAATGGATGTGTATGCAGCATATAAAGGGTGTTTCACTCGGGGCAGAACCCGGCATTTTGTTAATAACTCGGATACTAATAAAGATATTGCAACGGAATTTGGAGTGGACTTACCTCAGTTAATGTGAAGTCTTGCCCATACGTCAGGTGTCACTTCTTGGATGGCCTCACTTATGTTTGCTTTTAAAGCCTCTGTGGTTCGCGGTTTGTTGGCGTAAACTTGCACTTTCAAATGTCCCACAAAAAATAATCAGGAGGTGTTAGATCGGGCGAGTGTCATTTCCAGGGGGCTTTGGCCACTGTGCTCGCCCAATCTAATGCCGCCTGACTATTTTTTATGGGGACATTTGAAAGCGCAAGTTTACGCCAACAAACTGCGAACCATAGAGGCTTTAAAAGTAATCTTAAGTGAGGCCATCCAAGAAGTGACACCTGACGTATGGACAAGGACTTTCCAAAACATGGCGTGCCGAGTCCCATGCTGTCTAGACGCAAATGGTGGCCATTTCCAGCACTTGTTATGATGTCACCAGACTTCACATGAACTGAGGTAAGTCCACTCCAAATTTCATTGCAATATCTTTATTAGTATCCGAGTTATTAACAAAATGCCGGGTTCCAACCCAAGTGAAACACCCTTTACTTGAGAGATGACAGACAGTATATGAAACAAGATATGACATCTGCTTAAGTCTCAGTGAAAGATCTCATCACAAGAGTAGAAGAGTGTGGACTAAAATTGTTTATGAATCTTTTTTTTTCACTGTTGAAAAGCCATACACCCCATTTTTAAGATATAAAAAGTTCGTCTATATTTTTTTAAACATGAACATGTCAATTGTAAGTATATGTACATAATACACAAGTGGCTGGTTTGTAATCTACGAGTATTTTATGATGCTGTCATTATTTAGACTGTACAGTGTGTCACATTGTAGGATGGTTGATGAGTTACAAAAGGATTTGGAAGGAAGGGTGTGGCATGATTGAGGGACTGAAGAAAACCATAAACCTTGGTCAAGTTAGTCACTTTCCTGACTGAGATTTAAACCAAGTATCTCCCAAATACTAGTTAGGGCATTACTGCTACACCAGCAAGCTTGGTCAGAATGCATAGAGTCATAAAATTTCAGCATGTTCTTTTTTGTTTATGTAGTGTCTTTCACTTTCCAGAATCTTCACACTCTGCCATTTTGAGACACCTTTTTTTTTTTTTTTTTTAATTCGCTTAGTGGGGCGTGGAGTTCAACAGGGTCCCCTTGGCACAAAGGCCACTGATTGTCCTATTGTACCTGCCCCGGGTGATTATGATGATGGAGAATTTGGTGGAATGAAGATTGGCAGGGGAAACCTAAGTACTGAGAGAAAACCTGCCCCAGCACCACTTTGTCCACCACAAATCCCACTTGACCAGACCCAGGATCGAACTTGGGCCGCCGCGGTGGGAAGCCAGCGACTAACCACTTGAGCTATGGTGCGGCCTTTGAGACACTTGGTTTCCTATCTCTCTTCCATACTCACATTGTTTCCTGAAGAAAAAGAACGTAGCAGTGTGCATCCTGATTTGCCTTGAAACCTTGGATTCCATGTTCTTTTTCAAATGCTATGGCCAGTCTCAAAGCGATAGGTTTCATTTCATATTCCACACCCAAGCTTCTGCTTCTCACCTATAATTGTGTTTAGCAGGACACATGCACAATGTGTAACAAATTTCCACTTGTACACTGTAGCTACTCAGTGTGTGAAAGGTATACAGAGTTGCTAAAATGGCCCTTGGAGTTAGTAGTACTGTAACCTTGTAATGAATATGCCACATGCCATTGGCAGCTGTGTCACAAATAAAGTTCTGGTCACAATTTTTTTAATTCACTGGATATTTGGGAATATACAATACAAGAACATTATAATTGGCATGTGTTATGTGTTCAAGAAGAACAGTATGGCAAACACCTGCCACACATCGGAGTGGACAAAGAAACGCTTGTACCATGAAGATTGTGGCGGTATATTCCTCCAGACATATACAAGATTAATACCTGAAATGCCAGGTTGGTTTATGTGTGGCGAGAAATTCTTTCTTGGACCATCACATTAAAGAGTAAAGCATGCACGTTTATCATCCACAACAGAGGACTCTTGATCAGAAAGTAAATGGCATCTAATTTTTATATTGTGGTTTAAAAAATAGCCATATTAACAAAAACGAAACTGTACATGCCACTTTACTTAGATTGAAATGTTATCACATGAATTTATCAGTCTTACCAAAATGTTCGTTTTTCCTGTGTGAGGCATGAAAATTTAAATTTTCTACCAGGAGAAGTCCATAAATCTAGCACTGGGCTATTTAAAATCCTTTGTTACACCAGCATATTAATGATCAGCTGCAGTTCTTGGGTCACACTTTGCAAGGTGAAGTAGTTGCATTGCTTACAGCCACTTTACATAGACACATTACAGAATGAAAGTCTGTTTTTCTCTGCAGGCACAATATTTCTTGAACCTGAAATGAATCATACACTGGGGAGAAAATAAAAACTTAACTGTGGTAGCAAAATATGTGTTGCAGTGTCCAAAGATGCTGAACAGATACTTGCTCCATGAAGCATGGTCCTTGATTAGCTGATAGTCACCCAGCTGACAAGAAATTCCATACATTTTATGGATCCCTAAGACCTATTATCATGTTCAGAAAAGCCTATCATTGGACACTGCTCCAAGCCAGTTGAATCCACCTACACTCTTACATGCTGTGTTTTTAAAATTGATTTTAATGTTGTCTTCCCATCTCTGCCTAGCTTTCCCAAATGGTTTCTTCTTCTCAAGTTTTCCATCTGATATTTTCTGTGAAATCTTCATATCACCAATGCATGCTACATTTTACACCTATCTTTCAATCAACCCAGCTGACAAATTGGTGAAAGTAAATATACTGTATGTCGTATGTAAATACAAAATCTATATTTGGTAGTTTGGGTGGATGGGAGGGTAGTGTATGAAATTTCGCCAGTTTTGAGTGGTTCTTAAGGTACAGAAGGAACACAGTTCCGTCTCTGAAGCCTGATTTAGGTATATGCATGTCTTCTGATTTGCTACCTGATTCATTTATGTACATAAATATTATGGACAAAAAATTAGCAGTTTTCATGAAGCTTGATGCCTCTTACTGTGTTGATATTCCTCTTCAATAACACCAACCAGCAGGGCAGCCATACAGATGTATGGGGAGGTAACTGCATTAGCACTACAAAGAGTTGAAGGTTTATGTAATGTGAGAGTTCTGCTCTGATGTACCTTTATTGCTGCTGGGTTAATACTGAGTGTAAGATGTATTAATAACTAGTAGTTTGATTTTGCTGCCATCAGAATGACTCAGATTTCATTTTCTCTTCCAGACGTTCAACTCCAGTGGCTCCAGTTACAAGTCTGCAGCCCCCACCAGCACATCAGCAGAGTCCACGTATTTTATCAATGCCATTTGATCTCAAATATCATTCTTCACCCAAGAGTTTGGGACAAACTGTGATCCCGGGAACATCCAGCACACTGACTCCTATAGATCTGTCATCAGGCCTTCCAAAGATGAGCACACCTGAGATTCCCAAGAACAAAGAGATGATGAATGAAGTGCAGGACTTTTCAATGCCCTCAAAAAATAAACAAAAAAGTAAACTGGATGAAATGCTTGGAAAACTTATGAAGAAAAATAATTATGTAAGTAAGAGTTAATCTTGTAATTACTCTTTCACTTGCTGATTTTTATGTACATGAGTGTGTTACTTCACGTTTTATAAAAATATGTTTGCCTTGCATATCCTCTGATATTATTACTCCGTAAAACATGTTTGCTTGAACATATTCCTTGATCGCCCCTGATATAAACAAGTTACATCAATCAGCTGAAAATATTTTGCAAAATTTCTGGTATCACTTGTCAGATTTTGAGCTCACTATAAATATATATAGCTCTAGAAGTAGTAAACTTCCAGTCATGTATGGCAGAAAATCTTGTAAGCTTCTTCTGAACCAAGTCAAACTTCAGTCCATTCATTCATTTTAACATAATCACGTTCAGGTTTTGTATTTAATCATTAAGCCTCTGTACCTTGGTGTCTTAGTCTTGTACATACTGCACAATGCCAGTTTGCAATTTTTCCTGTGACATCTCTGTTGCCAAGGACATATTATTCATATTGTTTTTGTGATTCTTTTACTCACCTGTGAAATTCAGGTTATTGAAGTGCCTAAATATGTTATGCATTTTAACATAATTTCTTTACGTTCGTGTAAGGTTGAATAAAATGTTTCTATTACACAGAGCTCTAAAATGTTCTTCCCATTCCTGCGAGATTTTATTAAATTGATGTGTAAAAGTAAAGTACAAGTCAGAAAGTGACAATGCTGGCATGCATGGAGTATTAAAATTTTAAATTCAGTAAAAATTGGTACACTGCAGGAAACTTAACAAAATTATGCTCTAATTTATCACTTATTTACTGTGGCAAATGTTAACATTGATATTTCATTCAAGATGCAATACTCTCTACTGATTTATTCTGTTTTGCAGCCAGCAGAAGAACCGGTTATTGGCAAAGAAAAGAAGCGGCGCAAATTGGATGAGATAGTGTTGGGGCTGTCAGCTGCTAAGGAACAAAAATCACTATTTCCAGACTTGAAAAAGCCAAACACACCAGGAATGATCAGTCCCAGTGTGACAGTGACTCCCACCTCAATCAACTCAACGCATGGGGGTCCCACAGTATCATCATCTTCATCCCCTGCTCACAAGCCTTTCACCATCACTGTAACATCTGTCCCCTCTCCTGCAGCCCAAAATTCTTCTCGAAGCAGTATTGGAGTTGATATGGGTGCACTCCCTCAAATGCCAACTCCGAAGGAAAGTTTTTCCTCCTTCCTTGCTCATGCAGAACAACAGAATCTCCTGCTGAAGAAGCAGCAGCAATCATCCCTTTCACAATCTTCACAAGTACAGAGGAAGACATATGAGTCTATGATTGCAGACCTCAGCAAAGTGGCTGATTTTTCATCAAAGATCAGTTCATACTCTCATGAAGCTAAGGTATATCTGTGCTAGTTCTGTACTGAACTTCACTTATGTATAAAGTTCTGCATCTTTGCAAATGTTCAGCTTGCTGTGATTGACACTAGGCATGTTTGAGTCTCAAACTTTTTATATCAAATTGAGAAAAGAAACTTGATTTGACTATAGATTTTTCAGTCTTGAACATTAATAATCTGCTTTTGCTTTACACAGTAACGCACAAACTACCTTATCCATGATAATAATGGTTGGCAACTGTGGTACAGATTAACTTACTGTCAAGAGTCTTCTTTCCCTCTTTCTGCTCACACTTGAGGTTTCTTTATTTCTGTTTATGACTTCAGGGCGATTCTCTCACTAGAAAAAACAAACATTCCTCAATAAGAAGAAAGCAGTCTTCTGGGATGTGGTGTTAACCGACGTTTCGGAGGAACGCCTCCATCTTCAGGGTAGAAAGGAAAATAAAATTGGCAAGCGAAGAAACAGTGAGAGCAGGTGCAAGCAGACTGATGTTGGAAATAAACTCAGCTATATGAGAGCAGGAAAGGAAGGGACAGGTCTACATGGGAAATGAGTGGAGAGGGAAAGGGTCTGGGACAGGAGCAAGGTTAGAGCAGGTATAGGATATTGTGTTGGGGGACAGAGGCAAGGTTAATGGGAGGGCATTAACCCTTAAGCTGGGGGATTGCTATGGGAGTCGTCAAAACTTTGTGGCCTTGTCGATCTGGCGTCATGTCTTGGGAGGATTTTTAGGGAACAGATGAGAGGCTTCCATGACTTGCTGAGACAACCCCCCCCCCGTTCATATTGTTGGGATGGAGTTCAATCTCAGTGGCTTCCATAACTTCTTAAGTTTTGTGTGGTGCCCTATCAGAAATTGAAATGTACTTGTATGTTGCAAAACAAGGTTTTCAGCATATGCTGAAAATGTCACCCCCCCTGCACTCAAGCACTTTTGTATGCGACTCTCCAAATTGGCAAAGACATCTGGTAATGTGACATTGTTAATGGCAGCAACCTACCACCATATTGCGTCTTTGAAGGTGTCAGTTTTTCATGGCTTATTGCTGTATACATGACTGCAGTAAACCCAACAAGAAGAAATCAGGTGGCATCATTTCTGGTGATCTTGGTAGCCATAGGTTTGTCAGAATGAATCAACCACTGAAATAACTTTCAATTTCCCTCATGCTTGCATTCGATGTGTGGCACGTTATGTCATCTTGTTGAAAGTAACCTGTTAATTCATCATGTGCTAACTAATTCACAAATTCACTGCATATGTTCAAGTATACCTCTGTGGTAACAATTTGATCGAAGCATATGGAACCAATAATTCGTCTATGGGACAAGCCATGCCACACCCAAATTTTCTCCAAATGTAGGCTTTCCATGTGAGTTTCATATGGGTTTTCTTCTGCCCATACATGCATATTTTGCGAGTTTATGTAGCCAGTCAAATGAAACCAGACTTCATCCACAAACTACGTAATGTCCAAAATACCTGGATGTTCCACAACTAAATGTTGGAACCGTAAACAATACCGTGCACATTTCTCCAAGTCCATTGGAAGCAACTCATTGACTACGGACACAGGATATTGTTGCAGTTTCGCTTTTTTGGCAGCTCCTTGACACATGGAATAAGGAATGCCAGTTTCTTGCAAAAGTTTTCCAAAGGATTTTCTTAGCAATGCTAGTATGACTACGGACACAGGATATGGGCGCAGTTTCGCTTTTTTGGCAGCTCCTTGACATGGAATAAAGAATGCCAGTTTCTTGCTAAAGTCTTCTGAAGGATTTTCTTAGCAGTGCCAGTAATTGATCCTTCACATCCTGCACCGTGCGATCACGTCTTCCTGCCTTCTGCATGTCGAGTCGAAACACTTCCAGTTGTCTCTAATTTTTTCACCAATTTATGAATACAGGATTTTGTCAGTACACTTCCTTCACCATACTAATTCCAAAATGCCCTTTGACAAATTTTTAAATAAATCCATTCGCCAATATTCACAAACAATAAAACACACACAGTTCAGCGGAGTATATGTTTGTGGCATGCACAATCACTGTACACTGAGTCAAACGCCTGTTTGGCAGTCGTATCTCGACATCACGGGTACAATCCAGTTTGTTGAGGGGTGAGATGGTTCTGCTTAGATAGATGTAAGCTTTGTCCATGTCAGTTTTCATAGGGAACCATACAAAAATTAAAAAGTTATTGAGGAATGTTTGGGTTTTCTAGTGAGAGAATTACACCATATATCAGATACAGAAGCAGTAAGTATTACACTTCAGTTCATTCTCAAAAGTAAGTAGTGTTACAAATTCTGATTAGAGGGAAAAAGCATGTCATCATGATTCTCAAAATCTTTCCAGTTTCTCATCTTAATGTTGAACTGAAATGGTCATTCTCACACATACCTAATAGTTATTTTAAAAGACTCGGTTGCTTGACTTACATCTCCATTAAAAAATACTCATAAGAAAAAATTGTTTGTCAATAGACACACGGTATATGCTTGGAACACTGAATTGCCACTAAATTCAGCCTGTTACTGTTGCAATGCATTTAAGCAGTTTCTTGATTTGTAGCCTGTGGAAAGTGCTGCATGTCTTACAGTATCTCAAGCAAAGTTTTAACATTTTTACTTGTCCAGAATCAGTATATTTCACAAGTATTTAAAAATTGAGGTAAAGTAATTCCTGTGTCTGATTAAGCACTACACTGTCAAACGTGGAGTAGAGTTGCAATAGTTTCATGCCTTTTTAACTCTGGCACTGGATGGAGATCAGTGGTTAGCTTCATGCTCTGACCACTCTACCCCTGAAGAAAGAGACTCAGTGCCGGTTTCATAGGTAACTGAGTGGGCTTGAAACTTGGTGGAGACATAGTAATGAGGAGAAAAGAAACTTGCCCTTTTGCAAAGTGAAAACCAGTCCTTCAGCCCATATTGTAGTTACTGTGCCGTGGTGTACTCTGTCATGAAAGAAATCTCATTCCTGGGAGGACATCAAGAAATCGCATGCCAAAGTGTGGTAATAGATTAAAACAAGTATCAGATTTCAACTACTTGGATTTCAGTTTGTCTGCTAATTAAAGAAGGAGATGTACAAACAAAACTGATACCAAGCAATGTGAAGTACGATATAAGAAGTACTGGCAAGATAAACCAGGAGAAGAGCCCAATTAAAATTGGAGAAGACTGTAGTAATTCCTTCCCTGTTATATCATGGCAAATGCTGGATATTGAGGCAGAAGGATGAAAGTAGCATGTAGCTAGCTGAAATGAAGTTCGTGTGCAAACATTAAAAAAAATAATATGGGAAGAATTGGGAGTTAAACTAATTCTTACACAAATAATACAATACGGAGAAAAAGGGGGGAACATTTACAAAGAAGGGAAAAGCATTGACTTCCAACGATAGCATGGAAATGTCAACCAACAGGAAAAAGGAACCTGAGAAGGCAATGTGGTGAAATAATGATCCAGAACAGATCATGGGGCCTAGACTGAAGACAACAACGAGGATGATGATGATGATGATGATGTCACTGCCCTTAGTGTCTCAGACTATATAGTATCAAATGGTAGGATGATTGAAGAATCATTATTTGGAAGAAAGCAGTTTTATTCCAGTCAGAGTACTGTCATTGCACTTTCCTGGAGGAACTGAGGAAACCCATAAAAGCTTGTCAGTTTAGTCATTGTCCTAGCCCAGATTCAAATTTAGCACCTTTCATGAATAAGTCTAGAGCATTACCATTACACTCATCTGCTTGGTGACACCCAACATTCGGCTCCATATAAGGCATACATGTGTGGCTGTTTGCAGGATTTTTATTTGTGCATTTCCCTAGTGTGCATTTTATAGTTAGACAGAAATGTTGAAATCTGTTATAGTTTTGCTTTCATCAGTTATCTGTTGATTGAAACAGTGAAGTGTACAAAAATGGAGGGGGGGGAACAGAAAAACTGTGTGCACAGAATTGAATGTTAACTTATCACTCTTCTAAAGGCTGTTGAGAAAGATTTGTGGCATGATTCATGAATTACGTATTTTGGTCCTTGAATTGGGGTTGTTGTGTTATTCTGTTATGCTGCAGCTGTGGTGCAGCTCATTAAAAGAGGAAACCATGCTAGGTTAACTTCTGACATGGTGCAAGATGTTTTACAGTACATGGATATAAGTGCTGTTCACTAGAGGTTAATTCCAAGTAGATTGTATGAGAAAATTGAGGAATGCCATAATGTATGTGGTCATTTATTGTTGTTAGGTTGAATAGATACTAGGAGACTGAAAGGAAGTACTTAAGACATTCTGATTATTATATTTTAACTGTGTCGTTTCAGCATTTTTAATCCGCTCCAGTAAATGTTCGTGCTTTTGACAGATAATTTACATAACTGACCTGGTAGATGAAAGCTCCATGCCATTAATTTTATGACCAGGTCTTCATAACATTTGCTTGGAACTTTATATACATCATTCTTCATGCATTAGTAGTAAAGGATATTTTCTGGTTAGATTTATAGGCTTGTGAATTAGTGTTAAAATGTGCGAGAGGAAAGCACATGTATACGAAGACAAAAGCAAATAATTATATGAAGGAATTATACTTTGTTTTAACTCATAAATGAATGGGATTATACACAAAGAAGGAAACCATTTTCTGTTCAAATTAGAGAAATTAAGGCTTTGTTTATGTATCTTTCCTTCTGTAGTCTGGAAGTTAAATTCCTACTCGTGTTTATTTTGAGGCTCCTGTGTTAGATACAGTTCTTTGTCTTTCATTCCTTTCCATCCAGTCTTCACGATTATGGTAAAGACACAAGAAGTAAGAATAGTTACAAAAGAAATGTTAAAAAAAGATGTTTCTTGCAAGGTACAGTTTTGTGTTTGCCATTTGATTCATTGAATAACAGCTGCACTGTAGATATAGAATGTGGTAGAATGTCTGCCATGTACTGTAACTGCACATACTATGTTCAGGTGAACAAATGGTTGGCAGAGCAGACAGCCCTGATGCCTGAGCAACCGCTGACATCAGATTACTTAGCCCCAAGGCGTCGACGCCCAAGGGTGGACCCATCTCTTTTAGACTGGAAGAAACTGACAGGAGATGAAAATGTTTCTGTTATTAACAGATTAACTGGGAAGAAGGTACATGAAAGTTATCATAAGCATAGTCTTTGCAAAAATGAAGAAGCTTAGTTTGGTTAGAGATGTGTTAGAATATGTGTTAACAGTTTTTACTTTATACTGCAGATCACTGGAAGCAAGGCTCCACAGCTTAAGAAACTGGCACAGTGGTTACTGGAGAACCCAATGTTTGATGTTGATCCTAAGTGGGCCGAACTTGTAAAGGAGAGAGGGAATCTCCCACATGACCTACAGAAGCGGCTGCCACCCAGTGAGAGAAAGAAAGGTCCTGGTCGCCCTCCTCTTCTCTCCAGCCCACCTGGCCAGCAATCTTCAGTAAGTCAGGCAACATCCCTTGCGTCAACCCTACCATTTCCCTCGCTGGCATCAGCTGGACTGAGCAGTCTCTCTGCAGCAGGACTCAATCCCAGCAGCATACTATCAGGATTATCTCTTGGAGGATTTGACCCAAAGAACAACCCCTTGCTACTTCCATTTGGTGGAATGCCAAATATGAGTGCCCTGGGCAGTATGAGTGGGCTTGGAAACCTGGGGAACATGAGTCTCACAAATTCTCTTTTTGCCAATCTGGCAGGTCTTGGATTGCCATCACTTGCAGGAATGGATGGAAGTGAACTGGGTAGTTCTGGTCCTAGTACATCTGGAACAGGAAAAACAAAAACACGTAAACCCACAGATACTGAACGTGGACACAGTAGTTCAAAACCTCCAGTGTCATCATCATCAAATATCCCATCATCAGCTCTTCCGTTCTTCTTTCCTAATCCTGGTCTTTTATACACACCCCTGGGCCTAGGTGGACTAAATCCATTTTCAATGCAACCAGGCTCCATGTCATCTGCTTATGATAGCCTTGCCCAGCAGTGTGGATTGCTGAATGGCAGCTTGGGTGTTAGTGGAACATCCACACCAACATTACAGCCTTCATCTTCACGAGCTGGACATAAGTCAGGGAGCAGTTCCCGGCCAGCCACCATGACCTCAACATCATCATCATCATCTACCACAGCCAATCACAGGCATCAGCGAACAGCCACTAGAGATGCACTTGACAGACAGCAGCAGCAGCAGTTGCAGCAGTTACTGCTCCCACATGACACCCATCTACTGGAGAGCCTCAGTAGAGCTTCAACCATGGAGGCAGCTCTGCGCAGCGAGAAGCGGGTTAGGGAGGCAGAAAGGAAGGATGCAGCTGAGAAGAGGTTAAGAGAGGGGGAGAGAAAGGAGTCCTTAGAGAATCTAAGCAGGACTACAGTTACAGATTTTGCTACTAGATCTGAAGAAAGACCAGTGAAGAAATTTAAAGAAGGTGAAAGAAAAGAAAGTGTAGAAAGTCTTGCCCGTAATTTCATGCCAGACAGTTCACCTCACAGTGAAGAATGGTTTTCAAGGAAAACGAAAGAATCAGAAATGAAAGAAGCTTTAGAAAATTTGTGCAAGACTTCCGCTGAATTTTTAGCTCGTAGCACAGAAGAGAAATTTGGTAAGCGCACAAGAGATGCAGCTGAAAGTCTTGTAAAAAGTTCATCTAGTAGCACTGCTCAAAATGATGAACGGCCACCCAAAAGAACAAGAGAAACGGAATGGAAAGAAGTTGCTGAAGAGAAGATTAGTTGCATGCCGTTAATTACTGATCCAAGTGTTGATTGTGCTGCTGTGGACATTGAAGCTCTTTTGACTTCCTCTACAGTGTCTAAGGATGGAGCAACTGTTTCAGTTGTGACACGTTCAGAGGAAGGAGTTATCCCTGTAGAGAACCCAGCACCACCACCTGTTACAGCAGAAAAGAATTCTGTGATGACATCAGAACCAACAGAAGGGAGTGAGATTGAAACTGCACAGCAATCCACATCACCGACAGAAGCGACTCCATCACTGCCTCCATCATCACCCCAGTCTACATCTCTACCACAGTCTTCATCATCTCCCATACCAGTAATGCTGCCTGAGGTGCCTGAACCAGAACCTGAGCCCAGTGGCACTGGTGGGAGGGCAACTAGGTCAGGAGCAGGTCGGCGGGCAAGGAGCACCAAACGGTCGAAACAGGCAGTCGCTAACTTTGAGGAGCCAGAGGCACCAGTGGTAGAGCGCAAGGTTCTGCGAAGTAGTGCAGGAAGAGCAGCAGCAGCAGCCGCGGCCCGAGCAGCAGCAGCAGCAGCAGCAGCAGCTGCTAAAGCAGAAGAACGAGAGAACAGTGAAAACACCAAAGATAGCAAGAAGCAGGAATCAGTGGATGCAAACTGTGAAACTTCACCCAGTGAACAGAAAGCTGAAACGTAGCATTGGTAAACATATTTCTGATGTGTAATTTTTCGCCATTTTTATATTATTTTGGTTGGTTGACTATTATTATTATTATTATTANCCCCTCTCTCCCTCCCACCCCCTACCTTGCATTACTGATTTGTTGCTAGTGTTTTCATCTTCTGATTCCCAGTCCACGTTTTATTGTATTTTATTCCTGTTTTCTTTAAGTCACATTTTAAAACTGTTCTTGTATCCTGCCTTTATTTTACTGCTGCTCTTTGTATTATTTTTTCAGACTAACTACTACAGTATGATAAAATGGTATTATATCCCCAGATACATAGAATTTGTAGAAATCAATATTGCTGTGACATGACAAGATGTTAAACAGGAACTAATTTTCAGTGGAAGAATTGCGTTCCTTTGCAGTATTCAAAGAAATAAGGACACTGGCGTTTTATTTACTGCCGGCATGAAACTTGAACCAAGTATCATGTGACTTTTATGTATAAGTGTGATGTTTTCCATTGCATCACTGTCATAGATCAGCAATTTTGACTTCCAGGAGCCATCATTTTATATATATATATATATATATATCTCATGTTAATGACAACCACTGAATCAAACTTGTCGCTGTATATATACTTAGTGTGTGAGATGAGAATCTGATCGGTTTACTGTGTAAAGGATGTAAAGGGAAATACTTGCGTGGCTGATGTTTTATTTAACCATAATGATAATCGTAGTTGAAAGAAATACATAATACTGTTACTTAGTGTTAGTGCGTAATTTATAAATAAGATACTCCCCCCACCCCCACCCTATGTGAAAGCGAGTGGTGATTTCTTAACTTGTGCACTATTTATTTTTAAAGTTAATCTGAATTGCATTTAATGGTGAGCTTTGCTCAGTCCAGAAGTGTCTATGAGACAGACTGAACCAAGACATAGTATTGATACATCACACCGAGTGACTTTCATCATAATGTGCGGCAGCTATTTGATCGAACTTTACAAATGAACATTATGTTTGTTGCTGTAAACAAATTTAACCCTCCCCTTCCGATTCGCCCTGGTTTCACTTCCACATGGTTCAAGGCTATAAACAGTGTTTTGTATACAGTGATGGGAGGCGAAGCTTCAGTTGTATTTGGTGTCAAATATTCACCATCACAGGTGAGTAAGTGTTATAATAAAACCATAATAAATACTCTTACAGCAGTATGTCTCTTTATGTGAGTTTTCGTGCATATCATCTTATCCTGTCATTTACTAGTTGTAGTTTAAAATTGCGAATGTACAAGAATCATTTTGAGTCTGAACTTATAATTTGGATAGCGTAGTTACTGTAGTGACCGGCTATGGGCTGGACGACCAAGGGATTGGAGTTCAAGTCCTGGTAGGGTCAAGAATTTTCTCCATGTCATCCAGACCAGCTCTAGGGCCCACCCAGCCTACTGTCCAATGGGTACGGGGGACTCTTTCCCTGGGGTAAATAGGCAGGGGCGAGGAACTGACCCGTCACTTTCGGCTAGTGCCGAGGTTAAGAAAATTTGGATCTATAACCCACTCCCCCTGTGGCATAGTACTTAATTAGTTAAGCACAGGGACACCTTTACCTTTCTCATAATTTGGTTTTATGGGAATGGAGCTGTGAACTGAAAATGCAGCTCTTCTGTCATGTACCATTCTCACTCAGATCAGGTAAAGTAAGGTAAAGGTGTCCCTATGCTTAATTGAGCACTATATCATTAAGATATGTGGGGAGTGGAGGTATGGATCCACATTTTCTTGACCTTGGCTCTAGATGGAGGTGAGTGGTCAGCTTTACCCCCAGGGAAAGAGCCCACTGCTTTACCAACTTAGGTGTCCTGCCTTTATTGAAGTTCTTGTTAGTCATCTTAACAAAGTTCGTTTATCCTCTGGTGCAGCTACTAGGTGACCACAGTCACCATATCTGTGTTCTGTATGCAAGAACTGGAAGTTTTTTACTGGGAAGTTTTAGTAGAATCTGTACACATTCCAGTTTTGGTTAAAATTTAACAAAATAATGTGTAGCTTATGAAGAGCTGCAAGCATTTTTATGCAATTCTTAAGCATAACTCACTGAATAGTTACCAGAATGAAAAATGTATAGAAAAGCAGTTGGGGAAAAAAAATGAAATTGTGTCCAGTACACCTTTCTGTAAGTCTTATGGTTCTCAAGAAATACAACAGGGAGCGAAGTTGCTCAGAGTTTTTACAATGGAATCTTCTGTAATCAGTAATCAACTCTGGGCTTCCAAGTACATATGAAGATTACATAAAACTCTTAAAAATCGTTTATTACGTGTGTAAAAGTACGTGTTTTATTTAAAATATAATTACTGTTTCTAGAAATGATAAACATTGTCACCTTTTTTGTTTTTTCTTCGCAGTACACATTAAGAAGGTGCAAAAATATTCTGTTTGACTTCACCTTATCTGTCCATCTGTTGGCACATAACAAACCCAGAACCTGGAACATTTTCATTAAATTAGATAACAGGAGAATTCTACAAAAGTTTGTCAACATAGTTTTGTTTAAAAATAGGTACTTTCCATGAAAACCTACATTTTGTTGTGCATATCTAGAACATAGCTTGCTAAATGTTGTGGGCTTCAAGATCATTAAACTGGCGGGACTGAATGCACCAGAATTGTGCTGTATGTGCTCTTGTTTGTAGTGCAAGGCAGCCTGTTCAGTGCTGTTTTGTAGCTTGACAACTGTTCAGGGTCTACACGTTCTACACCAAATGTGCACAACGGTGTGACAACGTGCAGCAAGACTCATTTGAGAACTGTATTTTACATTGAGGGTCTAAACCAAAAAGACATCATTGCATTTTGACAAGACTTTTTACTTGACTTCAGCATTTATCATGTATGTAATGCTGCATGTTGTCCATCATTGATGTAAACCGTGCATAATGTCAAGTGGTGCCACAACAGTAAATTACATAACATTGGGATGCAGGACTGTATATAATCAGTCTTTCTCCCTCCCTCAGTTGACTGGATTTTCTATCTCAACAAAAATGTTTTGCTGGTATAAAGCTATTTAATTAATGATGATCAGCATTTCAGGTCATGCTGGATAAACAGTGGTTCTCATTGTGGTATAAGTATGTGCATACTACAGTTGTAAGAAGGCACAAAGGTTGAAAAATTATTGTGTGCACCAGAACCAGTTAGTGTAGATTGGTCACAAAGTATACTAGGTTTTTCTTAAGATACAAATTCCACGCTTGGAAAATACCCTCCATGACTAAGCTTTTTGTTTGATGCATTATTAACTGCGTGAGTCTTGGCATAAGAAAACAGTATTTACAGGCATAATAGTTTGATGGTAATTTTATGATGTGAAATGAGTGTTTTTGTGAGCAATAATGACAGGGTGTTTGGAGATCGAAAGCTGCAGGACTTGTTGGCACAATTTTAACTAAAAATTGTGTATTTCACTGATGATGAGAACTGTCAGTGAATAAGCCAGTTTATGATTGGCGACAACCAACATAGCAATTTAACAGAAATATACCAGATATTTCAACATTCAAATTTTAGAAACTTCAGCAGATAAATGGAATTTATTGAAATACAAGTATGTTCCAAAATTTTAAATCTGGCACGAGTGTTTCTCATGGAATGCTAGAAGTTATAATGTGGTACCACCCTCAAAGATAACGTACTGATGAACCTTATGGTTTACATGTTACAATGCTTAATGGTTAAGAAGTTCAGTTGAGCTGGGTTTCATTTCATGTTTCATATGTGCCTGAGCTGCACACTTAAGTTGACTGGTCAGATTTGCTTACCAGATTATCAGTGCAATGCTCATATGCATAATTGGACGGGCGGGGGGGTCAGGTTGTGGTGCCCAAATACAATAAATTCTGGGTGTCTTAAAAGTTACAAAAAAGATTTATCATTTTTGCAGTCACGTCGAAAACAACTTTACAATGCAGGTGTGTACTTCCACCAACAATGTGGTACTTCTCCAAACGCCCAAAAGAGTGGCTAATTGGATTTTGTCATCACATTACAGTACATCCAAAATCCTTCGCTCATTGAACTATGTCATTGGCCATTTTATTACTCATAGGTGCCATCTACATGGTTTGGGTCCTGTTGGTCCAATCTGTCTCCTAAATCTAGTCATTACCATTTCCTGGCAGGTGGTGGTGTCAAGTCTGTTTAATGCTTGATAAACTTCCATCCTTTGGAAAATCTGTAATTACTTATTTCTGTAATTTTGTATTTGAACAGAAAGTTTAGTTTTTCCGTGGCCTCTGTATTGATGATCAGCATGTTTATACCCAGCTGTCTGTTTCCTTTTTTTATGATTTTTTCTTACAGATGGTTTCACTTCCATATGTGAATGGTCCTGCATTGTCTGTCAATCTCATCTTCCTTTTTTTGATCAATCTGATATTTAGTAAGAAATGCAAAGTACATAGCTCATTGTGCAATTCCTTCATCCCTCTTAGATCGACATACTCTTCTCAGCAGCCCATTTAATGTGAGAGAGACCAACACAAAACTACATGCATATTTACAGTAATTTTGTGTATTTTCCTCCAAATTTGGAGACTAACTGAAAATATATTGGGATGGGAGGGAGATCATGGACTACCAAGAAGGGGTAGTCCTTCAGCATTTGTATAGGGCTTGGAAGTGCCAATTCTTAGCCATAAAAAGGTAAAGTAGCCTCTGTGCATAATTAATTAAGCACCATGCCAAGAAGACATGGAGGAGTGAAGGTATAGCTCTGCCATTCTTGATCTCAGCACCAGATGAAGGTGAGTGGCCAGCTTTATGTTCCAGGAAAGAGCCCCTGGTACACATTGTATAGGAGGCTTGGTGGACCCCAGAGCCGGTCTATACGTTATGAGGAACAGAAAATCTTAGTCCTCGTGGGAACCGAGCCATGGCCATCCAGCCCATTGTTATACCGACTGATCTATCCTGAACAAAACCCAGCACATTAGAATATTTCCTAATTGCACAGAAGTTCCTGTAAAATACTGTAAACGTCCCGTTTAAGTCAAAAATCGCCTTAGTGAAATGTGCCAAGGAACAAACAGAAAAGCTTAATATGCATAAGTACGGGGCTGTTCGAAAAATAATTCCGTTTATTTTAGGCAACTAATGTAAGCAGGGGAGAGCTCTTGCATACGTGGTAGCATCAAATGACTCGTGGTTCTGTAAACCATCATATAAATGGTCACCTAGTATTGTTCTTGTCCCTACAGAGTGAGTTATGTGCCCTGCGAATGACAATCCCGCCTGCTGCGAAATTCTCATTGTCGTCCACTTTCTTCACGCTAAAAACATGAGTGCTACGGAAATCCACCTTGAATTATGCGCCGCGGTTTATGGCCAGAATTTAACGAGTGAAAGAACTCTAAGACAATGGTGTACGATGTTCAAAGATGGACAAAAAAATGTTCACTATGAAGAGCTAAATAGTCGGCCATCTGTAGTGAATGATAATTTGTTCAAAGTGTTGACCAAACAATTTGCGAAACATGACACTTCACAATTTCAAAACTTTCATGTGAATTTGTACAAATTTCACGAACTGTTCTTTACGAGATTAACGCAGCTAGGCTAGACTATCACAAATTTTGCGCAAGATTGGTTAAGAAAATGCTCACAAAATAAAGGGAATGGCTTCGGCTTTGATTTTCTACTGCCACATCACAAGATGGTGATGAATTTCTGTCATATCGTACGAGTAATAGGTGATGAAATCCGGGTTTCATTTGTGAATGCTGAAACCAAAGCTGTCAAAGAAGTTGATGCACACATATTCACCAAAGAATCTGAAAAGTTTAAACAAACGTTGTCTACCTGTCAGAGAGCTGATGGTAACTGTTTTCTTGGACAGGAAATGAGTGTTGATGGTGAAATTCATTCAACAACGTCAGAAGTATACTACAAAACACAATAAACTGAAGGGCCATTCCTAACAAAAGGCGTGGAATAATGACATCCCTTGTAGTACTCCTCACTCGAGCACTGCTGGAGCATTTTAACTGGGCGTTGTTTGGCCACCCTCCTTGCAGCCCTTATCACGCTCCAAGAGAGAAACAAAAACTGAAAAGATTATAGTCGACGAATAATAATGCCACAAATATTTAAAAAATATTATTTAACTGATTTTTACTTATATTGGGCTTTGTAATTTTAAAATACACACACACATATATATAATTCAAACGAATGTTGTAAGTTTTATAAAAATAATATCGCATTATTTGATTTTGCTCTTCAATCATGTGCTACGTCCGACATAGAGAAAGAATTGATGGAAGGTGGCCACTAAACGTTCAGTTGCAAGCCATTCGAGTGAGTTATGTTTTTCTGGTCAGTTGAGTGTCCTTGATTACACAGTGTCACTATTGACAAGGTTGTGTGGTATAACTGCTACTATTGTACTCGTTTTCAACAATGGACTACTTTTATATCTGTGGTGCCTTGTTATCACCTGTATGGATTACTTGAAGTATTATAGAAAAAAAAAGCGTTAACATCCAGACTATAGATCGTCGTCAGTTGGTTCATAAATAAATACACAATCATTGAACTGCAAATTAAAATACATAAATTTTTCCTGTCATAAAATGAGACGTGCTGACGGTCGCCTTATATTTCGATTCGACAACACAACAGGATGCAAGAGAATAAAGATCCATCATAGACATTTGTGTTCAAGTCTCCCCCCCCCCTGAAAAAGAACATACACTTAAAAAGTACGACCTTGTTAGTTGTAACGCCGTGTAGTTTGGAGCAATTCTGAAGTTTTGGAAGAACATTCCGCCTACATTTCTGCGAGCTTAGGTGGCCACCTCTTTTGCGCTTTTCTTGACATATAGCATCCATCTTCAGGGTCAACGAGTAAGTCAAGTACGAACCTAGCGAGAGGTAGGTGGCTAGAGAACTTATTCTTCTGGACGGCTTCTTGTTTGGCTTATTCTTCGATCTTGAAGATGGAGACGATATGTCGGACTTCTTTCGAACTGCGCAGCATTACAATTCAGACGACCGTATTGGGCATAAACATTGTTGTGTTAAAATTGTTTTGGTTCATATCATACGTTGTCTACATTCCTCACCAAAGCGTCTATTAGCTGTCTGCGGAATAATGATTAGAGAAATATTTCGTTAATAACTGAATGATTTATTCACCTTGTTCAAGTAACTGTGTTGTGAGGGGTTTAGATGTCGCTAGAGTATATTTATTAATCCTTGCCACAGTCAATGTTTGCCACCAGTTGGTTGTAGTTCCTTATCTATGCTTATTGATCCATGCTGTTAGTGTAGTGCTTTGGTGAATGGATTGTGCAGTTATAATGCACATGTTATTAATAGTTTTTTTTATATTATTCTATATATAGTGTTTCATTTTCGTTCGCGCAGGCTAATCATTTTTAAAATACACACTTTATCAGAGCTACGTCCGTATTCGCGACCGCTGTTAACGTTAAGTGAAAATGTTCGTGAATTTGTGGGTGTTGAAGAGTATATGTATTATTCTTGTCATTAATGATCTGTCATGCAACTCAACTCCAGCATCTCCTCACATACATACACATCATCATGAGGAAAGAGAAGAGGATGGCGGGTATAGCGCAAGAGACAAAAACCACATTTTAAACGGACAGCATCACTCAGAATTTGATCATGAAGCAATATTAGGTGTGCACCTTTTTTTTTTTTTACCTTTAACAGAGCAAATATTTGCATCTATTTTGATAGATTTTTTGGTGGTACGCATTTTCTTCTGGCCTGTGCCAGGCTAGTAATTCAGATCCGCCACTGATATATTCCGGCCATGTCTGTACGTTCAGTTGACGAACATACCAGTCAGTGAGTCTTTCCATGTTACATGAGTCCCTTGTCACCACGGCGTGGTGCGTCCTCAGGTTTCGGATGGAAATATAGTGAATAAGCAGTCGCAGACAGCCAACAAGGGGTGGTTCAGATACGCCACTGATATATTCCGGTCATGTCTGAACGTTCAGTTGACGAACATACCAGTCAGCGAGTCGTTCCACGTTAGATGAGTCCCTTGTCACCACGGCATGGTGCATCTTCAGGTTGTGGATGGAAATATAGTGAATAAGCAGTTGCAGACAGCCAACAAGGGGTGGTTCTTCCAGCTGGGGTGGTTGGGCGTGGAGCTAACAACGCCTCACCAAAAAAATAAGCTTGTTACGAAAATTTGCGAGAAGCCTGAGACCCGAGGGATTCCTTGGATAAATGATCTAAGCAAAAGAAAATTGATATGAGATTTGGTACTTGGAATGTTAGAAATATGTATAGGGCAGGTTCACTCAGGGCACTGGTGAAAGGAATATCAAAATATAAGTTAGATTTAGTGGGAGTACAGGAGGTCAGATGGGGTGAAGGTGGCACTGAATCAGTAGGCAAATATGCATTTATCTGTGGAAAGGGGAATGAGACTGAATTAGGTACAGGTTTTTTCATACATAAGAGACTCATATCAGCAGTTAAGAGAGTAGAGTCCATTAGTGATAGGATGTCGTATATCATACTAAGAGGTTGCTGGTGTGATATTATCCTTCTGAACGTTCACGCCCCAGTAGAAGATAAAATTGATGATATTAAGGACAGGTTCTACAAAGAACTAGAACATGTATTTGATAAATTCCTGAAGTACCACATGAAAATTTTGTTAGGAGATTTTAATGCCAATGTAGATAGGGGAGATACTTTCAAACCAACGACTGGGAATGAGAGTTTGCACGAAATTAGTAGTGATAATGGAGCTAGGGTAGTAAACTTTGCCAAATAAAAAAACTTACAGTCCAAAGTACAATGTTCCCACATCATAACTTTCATAAATTTACTTGAGCATCTACTGATGGGAAGACACACAATCAAATTGGCCATATATTAATAGATAGGAGACAGCATTCAAGTATACTTGATGCCTGATCATTCAGGGCAGCAGATTGTGATACTAACCACTATCTGATGGTGGCAAAGGTTAGGGAAAATCTGGCAGTGAGTAAAAGAACAACGCACAGAGTTCATATGAAGAGGTTCAATCTTAAGAAATTAAACGAGGTAGAGGGTAAGGAGCAGTATTGTGTTGAAATTTCAAATAGGTTTGCAGCTTTGGAAGACTTGGATAGTGAGGTGGATGTTAATAAAGCCTGGGGATCATGATTTATTTAAACCGTCTTGTAGTGCATACACTCATTTATCTCCTCTCCCTCGCACTACATCTTTCGGCATAATAATGCCATCTTCAGGTGCTTACTTATCCACGCCAAACTAGTTCATTGCATGCCTTGTTCTCATATTAAAATAACTAAAATATGTATCTATTATATACATTGTCAAACATTAAAAATAATAAAATTGTTCAGGATACCACATCACTACGTCGCACCTCACTACGCCAGTCACGCCCATTCTCCTCTGTTGGAGCACTCCTTCGCTATCATGTGTGTGTTGTGCTTTTGTTGTGTCTTGCTCCTGTGACTGCGTGTGTTATAACAGTATAACAGTATAACACACGCAGTCACGGGAGCAAGACACAACAAAAGCACAACACACACATGATAGCGAAGGAGTGCTCCAACAGAGGAGAATGGGCGTGACTGGCATAGTGAGGTGCAACGTAGTGATGTGGTATCCTGAACAATTTTAATGTTTTTAACGTTTGACAATGTATATAATAGATACATATTTTAGTTATTTTAATATGAGAACAAGGCGTGCAATGAACTAGTTTGGCGTGGATAAGTAAGCACCTGAAGATGCCATTATTATGCCGAAACATATAGTGTGAGGGAGAGAAGGAGATAAATGAGTGTATGCACTACAAGACGGTTTAAATAAATCATGGACTTAAATCAGTGCAACAGGACGCTAAAATATAACAAAAGCCTGGGGAAACTATTAGAGAGAATATCAAAATTTGTGCCAAAAAAAATCTAGATTATTATGAACTGAAGAAGTGTAAGCCATGGTTAGATGAAGGATGCTCAAAATTATCAGACCAAAGAAAACAAGCCAAATTGCAGTGGTTACAGAATTCAAGCAAAACAAATGGGGATAGTCTGAACAATATAAGACGTGAAACCAACAGGCATTTCAGGAATAAAAAGAGGGAATATCTGAAAGACAAAATCGATGAGCTTGCAACCAACACTAAGAACAAGAACATAGAGGTCTGTATAGTGGAATAAATGACTTTAAGAGGAGTTATCAACCTAAAAGTAACTTAGTGAAGCATAAGAATGATCTGCTTGCAGATACCCACAACATTTTGAATAGATGGAAGAACTACTGCTCTCAGTTATTGAATGTACATAGGCAGATAGAAATACATACAGGTGAGCCTTTAGTACCTGATCCTCGCCCTTTTGAGGCTGAAATTGCTATGGCAAAGTTGAAAAGGTATAAATCGACAGGTAGTGATAAAATTCTGGCTGAACTTATTCAAGCAGGAGGCGAAATATTACGTTCTAAGATCGATAAGCTAATTAATTCTATATGGAATAAGGAAAAATTGCCTGGTCAGTAGAAGGAGTCTATTATTGTACCAGTTCACAAGAAAGGTGATAAAACTGACTGTAGTAATTATCGTGTGATATCAGTATTTTTGCATTCGTCAGATACTGGAGAAAAAATGGGAGTACAGTGAGACAGTACATCAACTGTTCGTAGACTTCAAGAAAGCCTATGATTCACGTAGGAGGGAAGTATTGTACAGTATTCTAATAGAGTTTGGGAAACCTGTGAAACTAGTCAGACTGATTAAAATGTGTTTAAATGAAACATATGGAAAAGTCCATATAGGTAAACATTTGTCTGATAATTTTCCTATCCAGAATGGTCTAAAACAAGGAGATGCTTAATCGCCACTTCTTTTCAACTTTTCTTTAGAATATGCTATTAGGAAGGTCCAGGAACACCAGGTGGGACTGAAATTAAACAGGACACATCAGCTGTTGGTCTATGCTAATGATGTGAATCTACTGGGTGATAATATAGATATCAAAGAAAAACACACAACTTTAATTGACGCAAGTAAAGAGGTCGGTCTAGAAGTAAACATAAAGAAAACTAAGTATATGTTGCCGTCTTGTCACCAAAATGCAGGGCAAAATCATGACATAAAGAAAAGCTAACAGATATTTTGAAAATGTGGCAAAGTTCAAATATTTGGGAATGACTATAACAAATCAAAACCTGATTAAGGAGGAAATTGAACTCGGGTAATGCGTGCTACTATTCAGTCCAGAACCTTTTGTCTTCTCGTCTCCTGTCTTAAAACATAAAAACTAGAATATACAAAACTGTAATTTGCTTGTGGCTCTGTATGGATTGAAACTTGTTCTCTTAGTTTAAGGGAGGAATGTAGACTGAGGATGTTTTAGAACAGGGTACTGAGGAGAATATTTGTACAGAAGAGAGATGAAGTGACAGGAGGTTGGAGGAAACTACATAATGAGGAGCTTCATAATTTTTACTCTTCTCCAAGTACATATAATTAGAATGATCAAGTACTTTATTTTTACATGATTCAAATATGTGAAATCTTTGTTGCCCATCATCTGAGATCTCTATTTCCCCTTTAGTAGTTATAACTGATGTCATGGCATGTGAAGTTGCATAATGTTAAATTATAAACACATCATGCAGGTTCTATTTGAAACACTTTCGTGTGTAGGAAACTATTTTTATGGGAGTTAATGAATACCTGTCAAATAATCACAGATATTTATTAATTTAGGCCTCAGTTAATCTTGTTTTAATGTAAAGTATGGGGAAGTATAATTTTCTTGCATGTTTCGCTGATTACCTGGCGTTTATTTGTTGTTTACCATTTCAAAATGTAATGTAGTATATCCTTCTCTCTCGTTTTCAACCTGCCAGATTCAGTAAAATGTTCCATTTTGAATCATCCATTGTGAGGCATACATTTGCCTACTTTTTATCAGTTTCTAGTGTACTAAAGCTCAGATTGGTATTTGATGAGTGAAACCATCTACCTCGCAGACGTGAATCAAAGGGAAACTTAAAATTGGAAAAGTTAAACCGAAACCAACAAACCAAAATGTTGGCATGGCTTTTCACTTACAATGCGGATACACAAGGTAGTTCAAATATGACCGGGACTGATTTTTTTTTTAAACCAAAATTGCCAAACACTTACTTGCACATGTCAGTCTTCAGCGTACTCCCCTCTGGAGCCAACACATTTTTTCCCAACGTTCTGGAAGCATCCTGATGCCCTTTTCAAAAAAGTTCTGTGGTTGGCAGTGTATCCACTTCCGAACATTCTAGATGGTGGCGTCGTCGTCCACAAACCGCATGCCTTGCAAGTCTGATTTGAGCCTTCCAAACAGGTAGAAATCACTTGGTGCCAAACCAGGACTGTATGGCAGATTTGTCAGAAGGTTCCATTTCAATTTCCGGAGGGTTTCCATTGTTGTTTTGGCCATATGGGGGTGTGCATTGTCTTGAAGGAAGGCTACCCGCTTTCCACGTCTCTTCCGCTTGGATCGGATCTTTTCCTTCATGTCTGTTGCCAGGAGGTCTAAGTAATATGCTGCATTGACTGTTCTGGCATCTGTCAGAAAGTCTACATGGATAACCCCCTGCCAGTCCCAGAAAAACGTTGCCATCACTTTTCATGCCGAATAGCTCCTCCGCGCCCTCTTGGGTTTGGGAGAACTGGTATGCCGCCACTCGCGTGATGATTGCTAGGACTCGGGAATGAAGTAGTGCACCCACGTTTCATCGGTGGTGACTATAGACTTAAAAAATGCATCACCTTCGTCTTCAAACTGCTGTAGGGGATGACTGGCAACGTGCGTGCGCACCATTTTGTTCACGTCCATCAAAGTGTGTGGTACCCACCGTGCATTCACCTTGTGATAGTGCAGGTGGTATTTCACGATGTCTTCTACACTACCAACACTGATGAACAGCATTGCTCCAAGTTCCTTGATAGTGATGCGCCTATTCTCACGAATAAGTGCATCTGCACGATCAGTGTTTGGCTCGGTGACAGATGTTCGCAGCCGACGATCATGCGGTTCATTCTCCACGCACTCTCTGCCCTCTCTGAAGCACTTACACCACTCAAACACACGGGTCCGTGAGAGACACTCTTCCCCATAATGTTGTTGGAGTCTGTGGTGAATTTCAGTGGACGGGACGTTTTCTCCAACGAGGAGTTTGATCACAATGCGTTGTTCCACGCTCCGCGGTCTCTTCTGTTCACTCATCACTCTAGGAACTTCCAGACATGACTGAACAGGTTCTAACCCTAACAGGAGGGAGGGTGGAGGTTGTGGCTTCACTCTCAAGGTCGCACAGCTGCTGCACAGTGCAGCTTGTTTACAAAAAAATCAGTCCCCGTCATATTTGAACTACCTAGTACTTCAGTTACAGTTGTTTGAGGTAAGTTTATAGGAGAGATGACACTGGTATTAGGGTAGGAACAACTTTGAGAAATATGGTTCTCATCAGAACTTAATGCAAAGTTATTCACATATATAGATAATGGAGTTCGTGTTTTATAACTTGGTATAAAGTAGAGTTATTTTGGCCTCCAGAATATTTTAACAGTAGCCTATGTTAACACTGGTGTGCCCTATGTTATAGCAGATCATTTCAGATTCCCTCCTCACTCATTTCTTTGAAATATTTATGAAGAGAAAACCATATTTAATAATACATATTCTGATGTTCCTTACTTCATTGTGGTGCCTGCTTGTTTGATGTTAAGGCAATGTAAGTCTTACTAAAACAATAGTTATTGATTTTGTTGTGTTGAAAATTGCAGTGACATAAATATTGTACCAGGAAACTCAGTTATTAACAGATAAGTAGACGTGGTTATTATGCACAAAGGGACTAATATCTTAGAGTTAATAATGATGAGGATGGTGGCGTTAAAGTTCCTGTAAAAGCAGTGCATTCTTTCCCATGAAGTATCATGAGTAAAACTGATGTCTACGCTTGTGATATATATAAATGACTGTGAAAATGCTGGCAGTGTAGGCCATTTGTGCAGAGCTTAAGATATGATTTATAATATGAATTCTTGCAAACTGTTGATGGGAATTATATCACTATCTTGGGTCTGTAACTAGTCTACTGGGCAAAGTGGTACAACTAGTAGGCTTGAGACTTGCATGTGACTTGAGCAGTTCTTGTAATGTAAGGCTAGTATAATATTTTAAAGAATACCATCATTATTGTGAATTATATTATCTCTTAACTTTAAGAAAGCGTGTGTAGTAGTCACTCAGATTCTGCAGCAGCTACATTATTGACATAACCTGCAGTTGGTAAAGCTACAGTTAGTGAGGGCCATACGCTGAGAAACTGAGGGTAAGGGAAAGTGGCATATCTCAAGTCCTGCCTTGTATATCTTAAGATTAAAATAAGTATCCTGCACCTCAACACGTTTGTCATTTATATGGAAGTACAAGGGGAATATAAGCACAACGTACAAAGAAGCAGGATGTAGTAAGAATATGACTGCATGGATGGTATTGATTGTGGAGGAATTCATCCTCAAAGTCTTAGGTTTCTCGGTGATCACTGGTCTGTCAGCAGACATCAGAAACTCAAACATGGTGATATAACATGTGTTAATTTATACATATGATAACAGTGGCTGAAGTATGAAGAAGTGTGAATATGAAAATTGATGGTTTATGAAGAACTTATATAGAATTCTGTAAATTTGCCCTTATGCTTAATTAACTTTCATGCCATGAAAATGTTGGGGGAATGAATGTGCATACTTAACACTGGCAGTAGATGGAGGTGAGTGGTCAGCTTCAGGACCTGGCCACCTTTCACTAGGAGAAGAAGCCCCCAGTATGAGGTGTAAATCATATGCCTCTCTTTAATAAAATGTTATTATTGATGTGAACAGGCAGCATGAAAGAAGCAGAAGAATTTGACCACTTGGATCCAGTGGAAGCCAAGAGACGACTCCGTATCTTGCTGACGAAGATGGATCTTGATAAAGATGAGAAGATTGATAGAAAAGAATTACATGCTTGGATTTTACGATCATTCAAGTTAGTGTAGTTTCTGAAATTTTTGCAGCATGTCTAATGATTGAATCACCATTTGAATTGATAACTTTTTGTTAGCTCTTCCCTTTTCTGATGCAGAAATTTGAGCATCCAACTTGAGATACAATGAAATGTCTATAAGTATTTAAGATCTTCACACAGTGCAATTTTGTCATTGTCTTCTGGGAGGTCATGGTATTGGTCAGTCTTAGCAAAACAGTATATATGTACATGTGTCCTATTCCAAATGGCTTCCAAGACAGAGCTATTTCTCTGTACACTAGTTTGAATTTGGCACCAAATTTTGCCCTCCCTATGAACTTCCAGAATATCAACCTTTCCTCATGGGATACTCTGTATCTGTACTCTTTATCTCAAAGTATTTTTAGCCAGATTTCCTGGGGTTAGCCAATTCTCGGAATCATCTTCAGGATTTCTCAACTGAAAGTTTTTTTATCTGCATGGAAGGTCAGTAGAATTCCCAAAGTAGGTGGATTATGGCATGGAGTGGCATGATTGACAGTAAGGACAAATGTCCGCATGAGATGCAAGCCTGCAACCATGTCAGCAGGGACTGTAAGCATCGAGTCTTCACAGCCATGCCGAGCAGAGTCAGCACTCACACATACAGTTGTAAGTTATGACAATTTAAATAAGGCCTCTAAATTCAGAATTGTATTTCATTTTGGGGTCTCTTTGTTTGTAGAATGTTATCGGAGGAGGAGTCCCAGGACAGATTTGAAGATGCTGATGAGAATGAAGATGGTGTTGTGACTTGGCCTGAGTATATTGCTGATTCATATGGCATCAACAGCAGTGATGAGGACAGTGATGTTTCTAATGAAGACAGATCAGAAGAAAACAAAGTAAGGTATCTTAGCAGTAAAACTGTGTTATGCCCTTGTGCATGTGCTCCTGAATTTCACCACAAAAACAGGCGACTAGTTGTTTAATGTGTAACATCTATCTTTTGTCAAAAATATTTTTCTGGTCACTTTGTGTACAATTAGTTGTAATTTTTATGTGAAAATTTATATTTTTTGAGGGCAGAATTTATAATTATGAGTAACTCTATAAAGCAGAAATTATTGTTCTGCCTAAAATCCAGTATATATACATATACAGGGTGTCCCAGGAGGAATGCGCCAAACTTCGGGAGGGTGTTCCTTATGTTATAGTATGCTGATATAACCCAAAACACCTATGTCCAAAGTTGAATGGTTACGGAGATAATGGCCCGAGAAAAGTGTGGTCTTCTGGCGAGTCCACGCACTGTACCTGTCAGCTGACATGTCTTATCTATGTTTGTCCTTGAGTATGGTGATTCACACTAGCCATAAGCTCCCTTCAGTATACGTTGCAGACACGTTTTGAATGGGTGGTAGGTTAATTGTGCAGAGTTGCTGAAATGCCTTTTGTGTTTTCAAACGTGGAATATTGTGATATGCATTTTGTGTGTGGATTTTGTGGTGGCAATGCACGTGCTGCTGTTGAAGAATACCAAAGGCGTTTTCCCGGTCGAAGGATTACATGTCGAAGTGTATTTACGCGATTTCACCAGACATTGCGTGATACTGGTTCTCTTCCGAGTGTTTCTGTGCACTCTGAAAGGGAGGATGTACGAATGATAAACACATGAGAGAGTGTTCTTGAGATGGTTAAGAGAAGTCCGCGTCTGTCCACTTGTAGAATGGCTTCTCGCATCGGCATATCACGTATGCAGGTGTGGCGAACTTTACATGATGAAGAGTTGTATCCTTACCATGATCAAAGGGTACAACATCTGGAACCAGGCGACCATGCTCAGCGTATGGATTTATGCCACTGGATAAAAGCTCATCCCGAACTGTTAAGCGTCATTTTATTCAGTGATGAGGCGTCTTTTACCCAGGACGGTATAAATAATTTACGAAATGTGCATACGTGGTCCCGTAATAATCCACATGAGATAATGGAAACGAAATTCCAAAAGAGATTTTCCTTGAATGTACGTTTAATACAGTTATGTAGTCACTATGCGCAGTCAGCCATGTTACGTCAGCGCTTGCCAGTCAAGTGTCATGTATAGTGCTTGGAGACCTAAGGACAATTATGACATGACGATCGAGTATTTTGTACTTCAATTTTATGGCTTCATGTAACTTACAAGTTAGTTTGATGTTATGTACATTATTAATATTACAGAAACCACATATTCCTGCCAGTTTTAATATGTATTTTGTAATCAACAAGTGTGTAACACCGCTCAAAGTTTCACACTTCTCTGGCCATTATCTCCATAACCGTTCAACTTTGGACATAGGTGTTTTGGGTTATATTGGCATACTTTAACATAAGGAACACCATCCCGAAGTTTAGCACATTCCTCCTGGGACACCCTGTGTGTATATATATATATATATATATATATATATATAAATTTAGATTATGTTATTATATATAGGTTCATGGCACCCTGCTAGTTGTTAGATATAACATTGCAGGTTTGAACCATAGAGAATTGTAATTTTTTAAGATAAGAAAGAAGTTCAAACAAAATTTATGTGTTTATCATCTACTTTGATATAAAATTTTGCATTCCTATTTACAGTTGTGCAGTAATTGTTCTCAAACCAGAAATAAAATATAAATTTTGAGTCAGCATCATGTTGTTATTTTATTTCTTCCTCTTCTTTGCTTCATGGTAGATGGAACCAAGCCTGTTTCAACTTCAGGTACATATTACATTTTTTTCAAATATCTTCCTGTTTTTTTTTCATGTTCTTTTCATTTGTGCTGTAGAATCTGTTGCAGTTTCCTTATTCAGTAATTCTGTCTAGGTGGTTTATCCAGTCTTGTCTGTGTTCATCTGGCAGGACTTCAAGATTTCAGTAATCTTTGTATTTTGGAAGAGCATTCTTGGTTGTTCAGTTATATATGTGTGTTTCAGAAGGCTGATGTGACCAATGTTTAGAAGACCAAGTTAGGAAATGTACACATAACATTATTTTTTTAATTATCTCAAAGATTCTAAGAATTACAAAAACTTAACATTGGACATTAAATGTATGGTTCATTTTTTTATCTATGTATATGAGGTCTGACAATAAAGTTTGCAAACCCACCACCGTGTGTGTCATGAAACAAGACCTCAAGGAGTGTATTCTTGTGACGTCACTTTATTACCCAACGCCTTAACCCTTTGACGTGGTAATTTAAATTCCGCGGCCGCGGCTCCTGCGGTAATATATTCAGCCGGCCATTTAAATTTTGCTCGAAAATTATTTATTCATCATTGTTCTTAAATTCTATGAGATAGGAACATGAAACTTTCACTAAAATGCTCTTAAAAGGTGGTTTTATAACCTTACCTTATAATATGCGCGCCCTTTATATCTTCAATGGAAGCAGGTTGTTTAGTATTTGAGCAGTGAATGGGACGCCTTGAAGCATGAAACTTTCACTAAAATTATCTTAAAAGATGGTTTTTATAAACTTACCTTATAATATGAGCGCCCGGTATCTATTCGAGCAGTGTAAGGAAGGCCTTGAAGCATTCGTGTAACCCAACGGTGCCCCACATTCCTCGCTCCGATATTTACGGTCATCCCTCGAAACGACCACCAAGGTCAGTACGATAAAATGACGTCAACTGGAGCGATGATTATGAAGGAATGAGTACTTTTCCCTCCCCCACACACATCCGTATCGTCTCAGGGGGTGACCACAGTGTCCTGCCTTATATTGTGGCGTTTTTCTAAGAAATGGGTGCTATGAACTGTGCGAAAGCAATTGATTTTACGAGAATAAAATTTTGGACAACCCTCTTCTAAGAATTGCAATTGAGTGTGCTACTGTGGCCAGCTCAGGGTAATATGATATTATCAACATCGTAAATATCACGTCTCGGTTGTTTATATCTTCAAAGCAAAGAAAACAGGCCTTTCATAACGGTACAGCTAGAATCCGCTCGCCAGAGCCACAGGAATTTTGCTGCAAGACAGGCATATGTAACGATGACTTATCTCAGCTAAACTCGTTGGCTTAGTATACTCTGTTCTTGTGACAACAGGCCAGCGAAAAATCTAACAATCTACAGCAAAACCACCAATTATTATGGGCGTTATAACATAGGTGTGCAGCTGGACGAAACAGACACGCCGAACCCCCCCAGACGATTTAAATCCCTGACGAACCATACACGACGAACCACGGCAACGGGTTAACTACAGTTCAGCATAACTGTAACACAAATGTTGAACAAGTTGTTTCACAGTTGCTCCTTTCGTGTTAACAACTCTCACTAGACTGTAGAACTGTCCATCTCTCCGTACTGGCTAACCACTGGCTGCTCTCAACACACACTGTCATGCACAGTCCTCAGCTGGCTTCTTATACTGTTGCCTGTTGCCCTAGCAGCATCAGCATCCGCTGTTATGTCACAGTGGGGATGTGTATACTGGCCCTTTGCGTAGCAGCTCCCCCGCTGTTACCTCACAGCAGGGATGTGTTTATTGGCCTGTTACCCTAGCAGCAGCAGCATCCACTGTTACGTCACAGCGGGGAAGTGTTGCCTAACACAGCTCCTCTGTTGTTGCGTCACCGCGGGGAAGTGTTTACCGGCAATGCATGTGTTATCACGTCGCGCTGAGTCCATGATTCCCAACATCGTGCTTGCAGTGGCAGCAATGGGCAGAAACCTCAGTATGGTTTGATGACATTGGCATATCAGCATTTCACAGCTGTGTTGTTGATCTATGGCAGTCTCTTTCTGAGTGGCATCTGTTATTGTTTGAGCGTGTTTTGGTGTGCTGTCGACAGACTGGTGGAGTTTGAATTAGAGTACTGTCTATGAAGGAGTTTTTAGCTAGCAAACAAATAACTGCTAGATCGCTCCTCCTGTTCATCGTATCTAGCCCCCAGTGACTTTTATCTATTCCCGAAGATAAAGGAAACACTGAAAGGAAGGCATTTTGATGACATTGATGGCATCAGGAATAATATGATGGCAGCTCTGAAGGCAGTTCCACAAAACCAGTTCCAAAATTAGATGATAATTAATTGCAATTCAGCAGCTGAAACTGGAGCATTGTATGCCTGATGATGAACCAGTGTAAGGGGCGAAACATGTTGCGTCTGTAAAAACAATAAAAGCAAATGTTGATAGAGTAGTGTCTTCTTTGTTTTTGAATACAGAATATTGTTGTGTAGACTGCATACCTTATATACTTTTATATATCTTAGTATAAAATTGTTTGAAGGGTGGACTAGGTGCTGGCATCAGTGCATAGTTTCCCAAGGGGAGTACTTTGAAAGTGACCACAGTGATATTCAGCAATGAGGTATGTAGCACTATTACGGTAATGAGTTTGCGAACTTATTGTCATTCCACATATTCTACCATGCTGTGGTCTGTAGCCTAAGGGACTAATAATGTTGTTAAATATGACATAAGTGAAAGAAGTCACAAGCAATCTGACAGAGATTTAAATCCAATGTCGAATGCTTGAAATGGGTGTGTATGAGACCTGGGCAAATGCTGCCATTCCCTCCCCGACATCCAAGTTTGAGCATCATACATTATAGTATATAATTTATAGTGGCATTGTTTATATTACAGCTTTTGAGTGATGATAAGGTTATGTTTGAAGCTGCAGATAAAAACAAAGATGGATCTTTGAACAGAGCAGAATTTCTGATGTTCAGCCACCCTGAAGAACATCCTGATATGCTGCCTGTGATTCTTAAACAGGCATTACAGGACAAAGATACAGATGCAGATGGATTTATTAGTTTTAAAGAATTCATTGGTGATAGAGGTAAGGCTGCCTGAGGACATTAGGAGATATGTTGTAAGACATAGTGGTGAAACAGCTTTTGTCCTCGCTAATTGCTAGCATACACATCTAAGTCCTTGGAGCAAAGGTCTCCTTGAAAAGCTAATAATTGCTCAGCTTGGCAATATGTTACTCACCTTTTATGTAACGAAAAGACTGTGTACCATGTTCACTAGATGCCACCACTAGACCCTAGCCAGAGCCAGTCAAATCCAGTCCTGACTCACCCATATTTCTTAAGCTCCATTTTAGTATTATTTTCTCACTTATGCCTATGCCTCAAAATAAGACTCTTCTCTTCAGATATTGTGACAAAAATTTTGTATGAATTTCTCACCTTTTTTTTTTTTTTTTTGTTTCCACTTCATATGGGAAACAATAAAGGAATGAAGTTATGACAATATTATTGAGCAGGAGAAAAGTGAATACCATAAGCCTAGTGTGAAATGGCCAGAGGATAAGAAAGAAGAAATGAAGAAACATACCAAAAGTTTTTGGTTTTCCATTCACAGTATTTGAGAAAATATTATGCTCAGAAATATTTGCTTGTAGCTTTAAATATAAAGAATTGCATGTGATCTGTACCAGGAGATATGTCATGAAGAAGGTTGTACTCCTGAGAATGTGGTTGCACTGTCATATTCTTTGAAAGGAATTTAATATAAACTGTCACAAACCAAGAAGAGATACACGTGATAAATATTTTAGATTTTCACATCCTTCATAGGATGAAGAGGAAGATAGACTTGTAGAGAATGAACAGTATGATCATATAAAAAGTTAGAAATTGCATGTCTAGTCACCAAAATGCAGGGCAAAATCATGATATAAAGATAGTAAACAGATGTTTTGGAAATGTGGCACAATTAAGATATTGGTGAACAACGATAACAGATGGAAACCTGATTCAGGAGGAAATTAAGAGGAGATTGAAGTTGGGTAATGCTTGCTACCAGTCAGCCTAGAACCTTTTGTCTTCTTGTCTGCTGTCAAAAAACCTCAAAATAAGAATATACAAAACTATAATGTTGCCAGTGAAAGTTGGTCTCTGACATTAAGGGAGGAACATAGACTGAGGGTGTTGAGGAGAATATTTGGACCGAAAAGAGATGAAGTGACAGGAGGTTGGAGAAAACTGCATAATGAGGAGCTTCATAACTTATACTCTTCTCCAAGTATAATCAGAATGATCAAGGCAAGGAAGATGAGGTGGGCAGGGCATGTAGCACGAATGAGGGAGACGAATGCGTATAGGATATTGGTGGGAAAGCCAGAAGGAAGGAAACCACTAGAAAGACCAAGGCGTAAGTGGGTGGACAATATTAAAATGGATCTTAGAGAGATAGGATTGGATGGTATTGATTGGATTGATGTGGCTCAGGATAGGGACCAGTGGAGGGCTGTTGTGAACACGGTAATGAACCTTCGGTTTCCATAAAATGCTGGGAAATTGAGTAGCTGCAGAGTTGGCAGCTCCTCGAGAAGGGCTCAGCTCCATAGGTAAGTAAGTAGGTAAACAGTTTCATACCCTCCAAAAGCAAATGCCAGATCTCTGTTGTATGAAATAAGATTCTGTTTACAACCTGACAGTGTTGAATGTATGGGTTAACAAAGTAATATATATGTGGGATGAATCTATGGGAAATAGGGGATCAGTTGAAGTTTCCTTATATGTGCTTGACTTTCTCAGAAAAGTTGTAAGTGAAAATGAGGTAGCATTCTGATATGTTGGGTTTTTGGACTTTATCCATCGTCCTGGTTTTTAAGATAACAAAAGATAACAAATAAAAACACAACGTTTCGGAAACTGGATATGTTTCCGTCCTCAGGTGAAGGAAAACACCTATTCAGTTTGGTCCCTTAGAAAGAGCTAGCCTCAATCACTGGACAAACCGATGTCACAAAACATGAAGATTATAAAAACCTGAGACCAGGCTAAGTCCATGACAGCTAATAAGAAAAATATTCATAACAAACTGTAGCAAACACTTACAAGCGTGGAACCAGGATAGATAGATCTGTAGAAATTTATGCCACGAAACTAAACTCATAACCAGGTCCATGACCCCACGGCATGGAATAGAAAGAAGAACTAGTAACAAAAACTAATAGTGTCTAACTAGCGTCGACAGTGGAGTAAATCACGTCTATCTAATATAGAACTTAATAGAAATAAATAAAAGCATATATCACGTCATACAGATCTTCTATGTGAATTGGTGACTTCATTGCTGATAATGGGGATCCAAATGGGAGAAAAGTCCAAACTGGGTTGGCTAATTGGGTTGGACGAGCATGCCATATGGGCCGCTTCCTTGTATTTCCTATACCTGATGTGGCTTTCAATATCCAAAATCTTAGCTTCATCCCAACCTACCCTATGTCCCTCTTCATAGGCATGTTGGGCTAATTTAGATTTTTCTAGAAGACCTACTTTTAGGTTATGCCTATGTTCCCGGAGCCGCACGTCGTGTTTTTATTTGTTATCTTAAAAACCAGGACGATGGATAAAGTCCAAAAACCCAACATATCAGTGTGTTATACTCCATCGTCAGAATCCTATAGTAACTACATGAGGTAACATTGTTTTCAGATTTCTTCAGTAGACATAACAGGAACATAATTGTGTGTACAGTGGTCCTGCACACCATCAGAACTGTGAACATACTGATGATGAACCAGTGATTTCTTAAGAATAGACATACTCATGTGGAGGTAGAATCTGTGCTTCCAAACACTGAAAAATATAGGAGATATGTTGATATAGACTTGAAAGGATTCTGACGATGGTGTATACTGTACTTCTTTTGGCTTATTTTGGACTTCACCCATCGTCTGGTATATAAAAGACAAAAAAAAAATACGAAGTTTCGGAGACTGGATCTGTCTCCGTCTTCAGGTGGATAGGGAAGGATAAACCTACTCAGTTGGGTCACTTAGAAAGAGCTAGTCTCAATCACTGGACCTGGTCATCGTGGTTTTTTTTTTTTTGTCTTTTATACACCAGACGATGGGTGAAGTCCAAAATAAGCCAAAAAAGTACACATGTTGATATGTTTAACACTGTGGGCTGGTCCACCATGGTACGTTTGTCGCCAGCAAATGGAATGTAACAGAGATGGACAGCTTGTAGTTTCTTCAATTCTCTGAACTCAAGAAGCAAATGATAAAGAACAGAAAGGTTGATATAAATGGGGAGACTGTAATTTGGAGGGAAATTGATGGCTGTGATACTGCAGAGTTGATCCTCACCACATATTTTGTAAATATCCATGTAATGTAACTGAATTTTACATACTGCAGACAGTAGATGGGGCTGAACAGCGAACTGAACATCACATTGCCAGTAACATAAATCAGGTGTGTGATAGCCCTCTACCAGTGAGTGCAAAAAAAGATATGAGATCTGAAATGTTTATTCCAGAAATGTACAATCCCCCAAGAACTACCGCCAGTCTTATGAAAACCTTACAGGAAAGAACAAACATGATGATAATGACTGGGAAGAGGGAAACAGAATTCTCATTAATAACCATGTGGACTGCCATCTTTCTGCCTGATTTACTTTTGCAAATTTATCATAGACATTATCATCATCATCATTGGTTTTCATTTCAATCATTCACATCCCATGATTTCTGAAATGTTAAAGGAATTGTGGACAGTTGTTCCAATGTTAAATTGCTTCTTACAGAACTACAGTCCTCATTTCAGACTCAGACAAATAAATATATCTCCACTGAACATTTTAAAGTATTTCTTTAAATTTACAAAAATTCAAAAAAATAAATAAAAAATTCATTGCTAAACAATAAATAATGGGACCAGGCATTATAACAGGCATTTGCACACTGTAACTAGAATGTGTGAGTTTGATCTCTGCAGACTTTAAAATTGTCATATATCACAACACAGCTTTATGTAGGTACATCAGTCTGGTGCAAAGCCAATGCATTGTAAATTATTATGCAATCCAGGTACAGTGAAGCCCTCATATATTTTCTGGAGGTTGAAGCAGTTCAAGCTTCTTATGTAGAGAAACACTTTAAAGAGGCAGGCTCATAAAGGCATATCAAATTCATTTTTGCCCCAGGTAAAACAATTCATAAAATATAGTAATATCCTAACACATTAAAAATATTATTGAAATCATTATAATTAAATTGCCGGTGGAAGCTAAAATGTCTGTAACCATCTCTTATACATGGTCAGGGTTAGTAATGAGCTAGTCAGCTTGAGAGAAAAAGTAACGTCTGAAAGCATGGTAAGTGGATAAAATAGTTTCATAACATTAAAGTGGTGCTTCTTATGTGGGAAACCTTTTAAGGTTTTGTAAGTTTTGAGGTTTTCACGGCGATGACAATGAAGAAAGTCGTCTTCTGGGTTTAGGCACCGTGTATTCTTCGTTTCGGCCAACGTTCCTCCGAAACGTAAGCCGAAACGAAGAATACACGGTGCCTAAACCCAGAAGACGACTTTCTTCTTTTAAGGTTTTGTTTTGATTTTCAGCTAAACATCAAGATAAAGAATGGCTGGTAGTGGAAAAGGAAAAGTTTGATAATGAATTTGATAAAGACAAGGATGGAAAGCTTAACAGTGCTGAAATTTTATCATGGGTTGTGCCTAGTAACGAGTAAGTAGAATGCACTTGCTTATGATGTATTTTTATATGTATATAGGCATTGATTTAGATATGTGTATTTATAGCAAAGGAGCTGTTGGCAGCAGAGAAGCTTGTAAGTAATGTGTAAATAAAGTTTCCAGAAAATAATGGTGGGATTTTGAGAAGAAATGTTTAGAAAAATGAGAAACATTCAAGAAATCAATATTTTATTTTAAAGTGTACCTGAAATAGTTTTGATCATAATTAGGAAGTTTTCACTTGTGCACTATTCATAGCTCTGCATATGTCCAGTAGATATTCCACTTCTTGCCACACGTGTTATAGCACATCTCTTGTTACTGGCTCAGCAGCTTCTCTTATTCTTGTAAGATTTGAGGCTTTCACGGCGGTGACTATGAAAGCCCAGAAGACTGCTTTCTTCTCTTATTCTTGCTTTCTGATGATTCAGGCCTCAAACTTTGTTCATATAAACATAATTCTCTACATAACCCCAACAGCGGTAAGCAGTGTCAAATCAGAGCTCTTGGGTGGCCATGGAATTTAACCATCCCTGCCAATCTATCTTCCAGGAAATATCACACTAAGAATTTCTATAACATATCTTGAGAAATGCAGCAGTTACCCATCTCTGCTGCTGGTCACCTGTGAAACTGTTTGAGTGGAGGAATGTAAAGGTTCAGCATTCGGTGTGATGTCTTTACTTCTACATTAGAGAAGCCCTGAATCATCTGCCTTTAAACCTGGAAGAAGTTTTGGCCATGAACAAAGAAGCTGTACAGGGTCTGAGACATGGCAAGCATAGCAGTCACTTCCTTTATGCGATTACAACGATTTATGGTTGTATTATGGCTGTGACAATTTTTTTCAGTGGGGGGTGGGGGGAACTTTACATTGATGAGACCAGTGCATTATCTAAGAGCAGTACTGCATGAAGATACGAAGGGGGACCCAAAAATAACCGGAACCGACCTGTTGCGTGCGCATGCTTTGTAGTTACGAGTTGTGCTGCTAGGTGGTGTTAGCTGGGGGTCTCCCGCGACTGTTAGTGAGCTGGTGTCAGTCTGAATTAAGTGGTTTGTCTGTGGTGCTCTGTTGTGTGCGTTCCTGTTTCAACCCTTTGGCGATTAGTGAGATGGCCAACCAGAAGGAACAAGGAGTGTGCATGAAATTTTGCTTTCTGTTAAGGAAAACTGCAGCGGAGACTGTTGGGATGCTTCGGCAAGCCTTTAATGATGATGCTTTGGGGAAATCACAGGTCTACGAGTGGTTTTCCCGTTTCAAATCTGGCAACATGTCAACAGAAGACATGCCACGCCCCGGGCGTCCTTCGACAGGAAGAAATGACGAAAACATTGCCAAAATCAAACGTGCAATTGATGAAGATCGTCGAAAGACCATTGACCAACTTTCTGAGGAAACGAACATCTCATGGAGCACGGTCCAGCGAATTTTAACCGAAGGTTTGCACATGAGACGGGTGTCTGCAAAATTTGTTCCTCGCTTGCTCGGAGATGACCAAAGAGAAAACCGCGTGAATGTTTGCCGCGACTTGAAGAGTGAAGTGCAGAACGATCCAGAATTTCTTAAAAGAATTATGACTGGCGATGAGTCTTGGTGCTACGGGTACGATCCAGAATCAAAGCAATCATCAAGCCAGTGGAAAACTCCAACTTCACCACGACCGAAGAAAGTGCGTCAATTGCGATCCAATGTGAAAACAATGTTTATTTGTTTTTTTTATGTGAATGGCATTGTCCACAAAGAGTTCATTCCGCCAGGACAAACAGTGAACCAACATTTTTACCCGGATGTGTTACGAAGATTACGAGAGAGTGTGCGACGAAAACGGTCCAAAATGTGGAGAAATGGGAACTGGTTGCTTCACCACGACAATGCTCCAGCCCACACAGCTTTGACGGTCCGACAGTTTTTGACAAGCAACAACATGGTGATTGTGCCTCATCCACCTTACTCACCCGACCTGGCTCCGTTGGACTTTTTTTTGTTTCCACGGATGAAGAGAAGTCTGAAAGGAAAGCGATTCCGTGATGTGGATGAAGTCAAAGAAAACACGCTAAAGGCTTTGAACAGTATCCAGCCTCAAGAATTCCAGCACTGTTTTGAGCAGTGGCAAAAGCGTTGGGACAAGTGCATTAATGCACATGAACAATACTTTGAAGGGGACTAATATACAGTTCAATAAAAATGTAAAAATAAAAAATAACAAAAATAAATTCCGGTTATTTTTGGATCCCCCCCTCGTACATTTTGTCTTTCAGGAAATAACAGACTTTTTATTGAACGAGTTTTGGAAAATGTCTTTATCCATTTCTGCTTTATTTGGCTATAGCAAAATACAGGAGACCAGTATGTTTTAATACCTTGATACAATCATGTTTCTTTTCCTTCACCTGTCACTACAAGTTACATTTTATGGTGTCCAGATGCATATGCATAACACATGACCATGAGAATATTCTTTAGATGAATTATACTCAGGAACACATTCTGCCCTGGCCAAAGCAAGGTTGCTTTTAGCTAGCCCTTTCCAGTATAGTCCACACAAATAAGCTTTGTCAGGTTTCAGATTTTCTTCTAGCACAAATTTCTGTAAGCCAGTGCATAGTAATCAGTTGGAGCAGTATTGGCACTAGGAGCAATTTCACAAATGCCCGCGCCATAGCTCAAGTGGTTAGTCACTGGCTTCCCACCGCGATGGCCCAGGTTCGATTCCGGGTCTGGTGAAGTGGGATTTGTGGTGGACAAAGTGGCACTGGGGCAGGTTTTCTCCGATTACTTCGGTTTCCCCTGCCAATATTCATTCCACCAATTGCTCCACAATCGTCCTCACCTATCATCTGGGGCTGGTACAATAGGCCAGAAGTGGCCCCAGTACAAGGGACTTAGTCCCACCCCACTAGCAGTAAAAAGAAAAAATCACAAATACTGTGGTATTTCTTTGGTTGGGTCAAGAATTTTCCTCACACTCTCCAAACAAATTCTGGGGTCCATGCAAACTCCTATCCAATGGGAACTGCAGGCTCTTTCCTTGGGGCTAAAGTGTGAAACTGACCACTCACCTTCAGTTAGTGCCGAGGTCAAGAAAATGTAGATCCGTACATCCTCTCCCCCATACACCTTCATGGTATAGTACTTAATTAGTTAAGCACAAGGGAAGCTTTACCTTACCTTTACTTTAGCATTACATAAATCTGGTCACCCATCTAGATGAGGCCTTTAATTCACCATCCAATTCCTCATACAGCTTCTGTGCACACATGGGACCAGCTGTGTGATTGACAGTCTAGGGGCCAAACATCCAGCTTCGTGTATAATGACTTTCTTGTAGTCTGATGCTTGGAAGATACAGCACTCCATCATATATCTGCATAAATTTCATTATTGTAATCTTGGTGGCATGAGTGGCTTGTAACCAGCCCTGTGCAATAATCTGTGACTGATTCCACCCTACCCAAATTTAGAAAATGCAAGTTTCTGTTCTTCTATTTTTGGGAAATTTCACGTTATTCAGAGGTTACCAGTCTCTTCTGCAATACCTGGGACACAGTTCACTATAGAGAAAGTGACAAACATGGACTTCACATGTTATCTTTGAGAAATTTCAGCTGTAATGCAGAAACTATTTTTCATCTTCTCCCTCTCAGTTCCACCATTCCCCTTGAATGGTTTACATATTACCAGCTGGTCATACCCCTTTTCCTATGATGCCAATAACTTAACTACAAACAGTGCAGTAGAAGTGGAATTTCTGGGTCTTCCACTATTGTTTTATGGCAAACTGACAGCAACAAACTGTGGTTGGTGTTATACCAGATTATAGTGTTGCCATACTATGGAAAGAGGGAATGTTTATCTCTTCCTATAATTCATTTATTTAAATCATCTGCTCAGATTGATGGCCAAACCCATCAGCATTGTCGTCATCATGGATTAGTCCTCTGTGCGCCTGTTTCATCCTATTGAAGAATGTATCGATCTTGCCACCTGAATACTAGACACCTCTCACTTTTTATCCAACCTGGACTGTATAACAAGCTTTGTTTAGGAATATCCTGTTTCTATTCCAAACCTGAAGTGACTAATGTCACAGCAGAGTAGGCAATGGTAGGCCTGCCACCTTCACTTCCACCTGACTTTGATCATTTAACACACACTTATGAAAGACATTTGGAAGCTGTTGTACCTGCAGCAACCCCTTCCCCCATTTCCACTCTTACTGTTAGACCATCTCTCCTTTTCCCTCCTCAACCCTGCACTGGTTATTCAAGATGATGAAAAGATAAAAGCCTAGTTCAAACACATGTGCATTTGTAAAAATATGGGATTATATGGCACAAATGAAGAAAGCCAAGGTCACATGCAAACCAAACAATGTGTAGCCGAATAATGAAGTTGACTGTATAAAATCTCTACTTTTTGATCTTGCCTTGGATTTGAGCTTTTGTTATTTGTTTCTCCGTACTTTATCAGAACTTCATCTGTACTGCATTTGGTGGTCAGGACATGCCCCACATTTTGTGTTACCTGAGGGGTCATTAATTATGTTCACAATAGCCTGCTACCATTCCACAGTTTCAAATCCTGTTTTTCTAAGATATATTTTAATATCGTCCCATCTGCATCTAACTCTTTCATATTTTTTGACTAGACTTTGTATGCATTTATCATTTCCCGCATGCGTTCTCTATGTTCATCCCATTTCATTATGCTTGCTTTGATCAACCTAGTTCTGTTTGCTGAAGAATACAAGTTATTTAGTTCATCAGTCTCATGTCTGAGTGTTGAAAATAATTCTGGGAATAGAAATTAATCAAGCGATCCTTAAATAGGCAAAACTGTATATGTTAGAAAATGGCTAAATAAGATTTTTAACCAAATGATGACTTTCATTAAACATGCATAATGCATGCAGAAAGTACAGAAAATGAAATGGTTTGTATAGCTAGGAAGGGCTGCTTGAATAGTCTTGAATTCAGAAGGTTAGGAAACATTGGTATTGATAGTATCACAAAGTAATTTCCTGTTGCCAGTTGCTTTATTATTACTGAAACTACATGGAGAAGAGTGCTGCACGAATACCTGATTGCCAGAAAGCTGGTAAAGAAATTCCCCGTCTTTTACAAAACCCAAAGTTTCATTACTTCATTCACAAAAGTCCACCCTTTGACTCTGTTATGAGCTACTTGAATCCAGCCATACTCTCAAAGCCTATTTTTTAGCTCCATTTTAATATTATCTTTCCATGTTCATGTAGTTTTCCCACATATTTTTTTTACTTCATTTCAACTAAAATGTAGTTGCATTTTTTCTCTCCTTTGTATGTGCTTCATGTTCTACATAGTTCATCCTCCATTTTATTACCCAAAGTTATGAGGTTAATTAAAAAAGTAAGGGCACTTAATCTTCTCTTAATTACAAAGGAAAGTTTATTGCTGTACTTAATTAATTAAGCACTATGTCATGGAGATGTCTGGAGGAGCAGGGGTATAGCTTCACATGCTCTTAACTTTGCACCAGTTGGAGGCAAGTTGTCAGGTTCATGCCGTACCCCTGGGTACAAAAAGTAAACAAGAACAAATGTACCTCATTTTTATATAATGTCATAGCTTCTCTGAACCTAAGTTACTTTGGTGTATGAGCTTCCTGATGCCATATGCAAAGAATGTTGTCAGCTGCATACAAAGCAACGTATGCACTTCATCCTGGACCTCCAAGTCAGCATCCATATAGTGCATCTTTTAGCCATCCAGAAATATGGTAATCAGGTGAGGCAAGACCTGAATTGTGCTGAATTCTAGTTTTCAAATAATTTTGATAGTTGCTACTGCTGTATGAGGTAGAACATCGTCATGATGCAGAACAGCTCTTTTAGAAGCATTTGTCTGTGAGTACTATGAATAGCAGGTTTCAGTTAATATTCACACCATGTTGGGCACTATTGGTCATCTGTCTGTGATCCTGATATGGGGCTAAATGTTTCAGAACAGCAGAAAAATCACTTTACCAGCAGAAGGCCCATTTCTTAATTTTTTGGCCCAGGGCAGTGACGTGTTGCCACTCTGTGCTTTGATGTTTCCTATCAGGTTCATAATGATAAACCTGTGTTTCATCTCCTTTGAAAATTCGCTGCAGAGAAGCTTATCCCTCTTCACAGGGCCATTGCAGAGATTGCATGCATGTTTCTACGTTTGCCCATTTGTGCTCATCCGTAAGATGTTGGTACTCATTTTGTAGAAGTGTCGTGATACCCAAGGTCATCATGGATGTTGAAATATGCAGATCCATGGCTAATGTCGAACTTCTTGGTTGTATCAGTAGCAGTAATCTACCTGTTCTCTTGAAATGGGGCAATATCTTGTTCAACATTGCTATATGTTTATGAAGTTGTTGAATGATTGAAATGGTTTTCATCAGCAATTGTGGCCAATTCTTCCACATGCATCCACCTCCCTAAGCAACTCACTGAAGATTTGGAAAGAATGCTGAAAATTTGCAGTGCTCAGTAACAGTGCAGTGTACATAATCATGAATATTTTAGCTGTAATTAGATTATAAGTACATGATGTATGTACTGTGCAATGTTACATGTCTAGAAATGAGTACACATGTTAAACATATTCTGTCTGAAAGGTCTCTTAGGATTTTGATACAAGGAGGAATTACTCTATTATCCTTCTGCTGCATTGGCGCCAGTGGAGAGTATGTCATGTTGACAGGTACTGGTCTAATTATGCACTTCACATTCCAACGTTTAACTTTATGTTTAAGCCAGGGAAGCTGATCAGTATAATGAATGGTTACAGGATCAGCATGTGTGAGTCTCAAACTTCTGAGGTCAAACAAAAAAAAGTGTGTTGGTCTCAATTTGAATATTGATTTTTCAGTCTCAAACCTCCAGAATTTTCATATAAGTCCTTTTACCTTATGCAGTAGCACACAGACTACCCAGTCTGTCAGACTCGTAATGGTTGGCAATGCTGGTATGAATCAGGTTGTGAACAAAGTATCAATTTCAGTGGATTTTTTCCAGCCCATGATGAAAAAGGGCACAGCTCTAGAATTGTTTTTGTTTTAAGTACATTGATTTGTGAAAATGGTTCATTCAAGAAGGACCCTCTGTCAAGAGGGCTTAGTGATATGAATATGACTGCACTGTGTAGGGTGGCTACTGCCATAGATTGTGATCACAGTGAAAAAATTGGTCTGGTAGAGAAAATTATCATTCTATTCTCACTCCTCAAAATTTTTCCAATTCTCATCTCAAAGTAAGAAAGTCATTCTTGAATATTCATAATAGAGAGTGTATAATTTGTATACAGTTCCTGGCAGGGGTACACTTTTTTCCTTTACAACTATATCTAGGCCTGCTTTGAGATCCAACTAGCCTCCTATCCAATTGGTACAAGGGGCTTTTCTCCCAATAGTAAAGCAGCTAGAACATTACACAGACCATTCACCTGTGTTTAGTCCCAAGGTGAAGAATGCAAGGAGTTACACGTTTGCTTCCCATACTTCTTTGTGGTCTGGTACGTATTTAACTAGAAAACTTTACTTCCTTCTTATATTTTATACAGATTTCTAGTTACTTTGGAATTTATTTTTGCAGTGAGATTGCTGATGAAGAAGTGATCCATTTGTTTGCATCATCAGATGATGATCATGATGACCTGCTGACATTTGATGAAATCCTGGATCACCATGAAATATTTGTGGGCAGTGAAGCTACAGACTATGGTGACCATTTACACAACATCCATGTCTTCCAGGATGAACTTTGAAGGGTGACATTTTGTAGAGTATGTATACATATGGCACTGCCTTACATACTTTCTGTATTTGTTATAATATAGAAAGAAATGTACAGCACAACTTTTGTATTTTACTATTTTTCTTTTCTTGCTAGTGGGGTGGGACCAAGTCCCTTGCACTGCAGCCACTTCTGGCCTATTGTACCAGCTCCAGATGATAGGTGACGGATATTGTGGAGCAATTTGTGGAAAGAAGACTGGCAGGGGAAACCGAAGTACTCGGAGAAAACATGCCCCAGTGCCACTTTGTCCACCACAAATCCCACTTGACCAGACCTGGGATNGAATTTTCCTCACGCTCTCCAAACAAATTCTGGGGTCCATGCAAACTCCTATCCAATGGGAACTGCAGGCTCTTTCCTTGGGGCTAAAGTGTGAAACTGACCACTCACCTTCAGTTAGTGCCGAGGTCAAGAAAATGTAGATCCGTACATCCTCTCCCCCATACACCTTCATGGTATAGTACTTAATTAGTTAAGCACAAGGGAAGCTTTACCTTACCTTTACTTTAGCATTACATAAATCTGGTCACCCATCTAGATGAGGCCTTTAATTCACCATCCAATTCCTCATACAGCTTCTGTGCACACATGGGACCAGCTGTGTGATTGACAGTCTAGGGGCCAAACATCCAGCTTCGTGTATAATGACTTTCTTGTAGTCTGATGCTTGGAAGATACAGCACTCCATCATATATCTGCATAAATTTCATTATTGTAATCTTGGTGGCATGAGTGGCTTGTAACCAGCCCTGTGCAATAATCTGTGACTGATTCCACCCTACCCAAATTTAGAAAATGCAAGTTTCTGTTCTTCTATTTTTGGGAAATTTCACGTTATTCAGAGGTTACCAGTCTCTTCTGCAATACCTGGGACACAGTTCACTATAGAGAAAGTGACAAACATGGACTTCACATGTTATCTTTGAGAAATTTCAGCTGTAATGCAGAAACTATTTTTCATCTTCTCCCTCTCAGTTCCACCATTCCCCTTGAATGGTTTACATATTACCAGCTGGTCATACCCCTTTTCCTATGATGCCAATAACTTAACTACAAACAGTGCAGTAGAAGTGGAATTTCTGGGTCTTCCACTATTGTTTTATGGCAAACTGACAGCAACAAACTGTGGTTGGTGTTATACCAGATTATAGTGTTGCCATACTATGGAAAGAGGGAATGTTTATCTCTTCCTATAATTCATTTATTTAAATCATCTGCTCAGATTGATGGCCAAACCCATCAGCATTGTCGTCATCATGGATTAGTCCTCTGTGCGCCTGTTTCATCCTATTGAAGAATGTATCGATCTTGCCACCTGAATACTAGACACCTCTCACTTTTTATCCAACCTGGACTGTATAACAAGCTTTGTTTAGGAATATCCTGTTTCTATTCCAAACCTGAAGTGACTAATGTCACAGCAGAGTAGGCAATGGTAGGCCTGCCACCTTCACTTCCACCTGACTTTGATCATTTAACACACACTTATGAAAGACATTTGGAAGCTGTTGTACCTGCAGCAACCCCTTCCCCCATTTCCACTCTTACTGTTAGACCATCTCTCCTTTTCCCTCCTCAACCCTGCACTGGTTATTCAAGATGATGAAAAGATAAAAGCCTAGTTCAAACACATGTGCATTTGTAAAAATATGGGATTATATGGCACAAATGAAGAAAGCCAAGGTCACATGCAAACCAAACAATGTGTAGCCGAATAATGAAGTTGACTGTATAAAATCTCTACTTTTTGATCTTGCCTTGGATTTGAGCTTTTGTTATTTGTTTCTCCGTACTTTATCAGAACTTCATCTGTACTGCATTTGGTGGTCAGGACATGCCCCACATTTTGTGTTACCTGAGGGGTCATTAATTATGTTCACAATAGCCTGCTACCATTCCACAGTTTCAAATCCTGTTTTTCTAAGATATATTTTAATATCGTCCCATCTGCATCTAACTCTTTCATATTTTTTGACTAGACTTTGTATGCATTTATCATTTCCCGCATGCGTTCTCTATGTTCATCCCATTTCATTATGCTTGCTTTGATCAACCTAGTTCTGTTTGCTGAAGAATACAAGTTATTTAGTTCATCAGTCTCATGTCTGAGTGTTGAAAATAATTCTGGGAATAGAAATTAATCAAGCGATCCTTAAATAGGCAAAACTGTATATGTTAGAAAATGGCTAAATAAGATTTTTAACCAAATGATGACTTTCATTAAACATGCATAATGCATGCAGAAAGTACAGAAAATGAAATGGTTTGTATAGCTAGGAAGGGCTGCTTGAATAGTCTTGAATTCAGAAGGTTAGGAAACATTGGTATTGATAGTATCACAAAGTAATTTCCTGTTGCCAGTTGCTTTATTATTACTGAAACTACATGGAGAAGAGTGCTGCACGAATACCTGATTGCCAGAAAGCTGGTAAAGAAATTCCCCGTCTTTTACAAAACCCAAAGTTTCATTACTTCATTCACAAAAGTCCACCCTTTGACTCTGTTATGAGCTACTTGAATCCAGCCATACTCTCAAAGCCTATTTTTTAGCTCCATTTTAATATTATCTTTCCATGTTCATGTAGTTTTCCCACATATTTTTTTTACTTCATTTCAACTAAAATGTAGTTGCATTTTTTCTCTCCTTTGTATGTGCTTCATGTTCTACATAGTTCATCCTCCATTTTATTACCCAAAGTTATGAGGTTAATTAAAAAAGTAAGGGCACTTAATCTTCTCTTAATTACAAAGGTGTACTTAATTAATTAAGCACTATGTCATGGAGATGTCTGGAGGAGCAGGGGTATAGCTTCACATGCTCTTAACTTTGCACCAGTTGGAGGCAAGTTGTCAGGTTCATGCCGTACCCCTGGGTACAAAAAGTAAACAAGAACAAATGTACCTCATTTTTATATAATGTCATAGCTTCTCTGAACCTAAGTTACTTTGGTGTATGAGCTTCCTGATGCCATATGCAAAGAATGTTGTCAGCTGCATACAAAGCAACGTATGCACTTCATCCTGGACCTCCAAGTCAGCATCCATATAGTGCATCTTTTAGCCATCCAGAAATATGGTAATCAGGTGAGGCAAGACCTGAATTGTGCTGAATTCTAGTTTTCAAATAATTTTGATAGTTGCTACTGCTGTATGAGGTAGAACATCGTCATGATGCAGAACAGCTCTTTTAGAAGCATTTGTCTGTGAGTACTATGAATAGCAGGTTTCAGTTAATATTCACACCATGTTGGGCACTATTGGTCATCTGTCTGTGATCCTGATATGGGGCTAAATGTTTCAGAACAGCAGAAAAATCACTTTACCAGCAGAAGGCCCATTTCTTAATTTTTTGGCCCTGGGCAGTGACGTGTTGCCACTCTGTGCTTTGATGTTTCCTATCAGGTTCATAATGATAAACCTGTGTTTCATCTCCTTTGAAAATTCGCTGCAGAGAAGCTTATCCCTCTTCACAGGGCCATTGCAGAGATTGCATGCATGTTTCTACGTTTGCCCATTTGTGCTCATCCGTAAGATGTTGGTACTCATTTTGTAGAAGTGTCGTGATACCCAAGGTCATCATGGATGTTGAAATATGCAGATCCATGGCTAATGTCGAACTTCTTGGTTGTATCAGTAGCAGTAATCTACCTGTTCTCTTGAAATGGGGCAATATCTTGTTCAACATTGCTATATGTTTATGAAGTTGTTGAATGATTGAAATGGTTTTCATCAGCAATTGTGGCCAATTCTTCCACATGCATCCACCTCCCTAAGCAACTCACTGAAGATTTGGAAAGAATGCTGAAAATTTGCAGTGCTCAGTAACAGTGCAGTGTACATAATCATGAATATTTTAGCTGTAATTAGATTATAAGTACATGATGTATGTACTGTGCAATGTTACATGTCTAGAAATGAGTACACATGTTAAACATATTCTGTCTGAAAGGTCTCTTAGGATTTTGATACAAGGAGGAATTACTCTATTATCCTTCTGCTGCATTGGCGCCAGTGGAGAGTATGTCATGTTGACAGGTACTGGTCTAATTATGCACTTCACATTCCAACGTTTAACTTTATGTTTAAGCCAGGGAAGCTGATCAGTATAATGAATGGTTACAGGATCAGCATGTGTGAGTCTCAAACTTCTGAGGTCAAACAAAAAAAAGTGTGTTGGTCTCAATTTGAATATTGATTTTTCAGTCTCAAACCTCCAGAATTTTCATATAAGTCCTTTTACCTTATGCAGTAGCACACAGACTACCCAGTCTGTCAGACTCGTAATGGTTGGCAATGCTGGTATGAATCAGGTTGTGAACAAAGTATCAATTTCAGTGGATTTTTTCCAGCCCATGATGAAAAAGGGCACAGCTCTAGAATTGTTTTTGTTTTAAGTACATTGATTTGTGAAAATGGTTCATTCAAGAAGGACCCTCTGTCAAGAGGGCTTAGTGATATGAATATGACTGCACTGTGTAGGGTGGCTACTGCCATAGATTGTGATCACAGTGAAAAAATTGGTCTGGTAGAGAAAATTATCATTCTATTCTCACTCCTCAAAATTTTTCCAATTCTCATCTCAAAGTAAGAAAGTCATTCTTGAATATTCATAATAGAGAGTGTATAATTTGTATACAGTTCCTGGCAGGGGTACACTTTTTTCCTTTACAACTATATCTAGGCCTGCTTTGAGATCCAACTAGCCTCCTATCCAATTGGTACAAGGGGCTTTTCTCCCAATAGTAAAGCAGCTAGAACATTACACAGACCATTCACCTGTGTTTAGTCCCAAGGTGAAGAATGCAAGGAGTTACACGTTTGCTTCCCATACTTCTTTGTGGTCTGGTACGTATTTAACTAGAAAACTTTACTTCCTTCTTATATTTTATACAGATTTCTAGTTACTTTGGAATTTATTTTTGCAGTGAGATTGCTGATGAAGAAGTGATCCATTTGTTTGCATCATCAGATGATGATCATGATGACCTGCTGACATTTGATGAAATCCTGGATCACCATGAAATATTTGTGGGCAGTGAAGCTACAGACTATGGTGACCATTTACACAACATCCATGTCTTCCAGGATGAACTTTGAAGGGTGACATTTTGTAGAGTATGTATACATATGGCACTGCCTTACATACTTTCTGTATTTGTTATAATATAGAAAGAAATGTACAGCACAACTTTTGTATTTTACTATTTTTCTTTTCTTGCTAGTGGGGTGGGACCAAGTCCCTTGCACTGCAGCCACTTCTGGCCTATTGTACCAGCTCCAGATGATAGGTGACGGATATTGTGGAGCAATTTGTGGAAAGAAGACTGGCAGGGGAAACCGAAGTACTCGGAGAAAACATGCCCCAGTGCCACTTTGTCCACCACAAATCCCACTTGACCAGACCTGGGAT